TCAAATTTAGATAATTTTCCTTTTTTTTAAGCTTCTCAAATATAAAAGTAAAGGTCCCAGGCGTATTCGGAATATAGGGCTAGACCTATATTTTTACAGACCAGTCGGCACTTGGTGGGTGTGGTCAGCATTGTGCCGACCACCTTTACTTTCCAGGACTGCACCCAGTGACCCACTCAAGGCTGGGTCTACCTGGGAGTCAAGGTCATTTCTGAAAAAAGTCTGGCTTCGCCAGGACATGAACCCACGACCTTCCGATCTGCAGGCGGGCGTCTAGCAGCCAACGCCACGGCAACTTCTTAAATAGAATATGTATAATATATATTTTTATAATGAAACCATTTGATTGGAAGATTTACTTTAATTAGTTTCTCTGAATAATGTCAGTGAGCACACTGTAATGGGTTCAGAAGGGGATTTTAAAAAAACCCAGACAGGACTGGTGTCATTGGCTGCTACATGCTACAGGATTTACTGAGCAGGGAGGGAATCTGAACACTTATGGGCTGACATGGATTGATGTGCACTGACTCAGGATTGTAAAGAGAAATTTTCTGTCATGTCTATGTTTGTTCTCACAACATTTTGGCTATTGAAATATGTACATTTACCTGTGTTTACTAGATGCTGGCTAACTCCATAGGCCCTTCGTGTTTCCCAAAGTAATTGATGATTGACTTGATCTGTGTATGCAAGATATAGCGCATGCATTATCATATTCTGTTTTCTCTGCTGCCTGTCACAGTGTAAAGCTGGCATTAGTACAGCTTTTTTTTTTTAGATGAAATCTTGGTTAATGGAAGTTTGACAAAGATAAGGTTCATTTTCATTTCCCTGACAAACTAAATAGCAGAGCAAATCTGTGTTGACAAAATAGACAGCTAATATGGTTCAATATTTAGCTGGTGATTATTTAATTAAAGAATACCTTTATTTATATTTATTGTTTCAAATGTTTCCCCTTCTTTCTGTCAGAAAATGGAAGTTGATGAAAATAATCATCAAGGTATCAAACAGTACTATATCAGCAAAATTGAAGAGCTCCAGGTTAGTGCTACAATCTAGAAACGTTTAGATGTCATATCTCAAAATATAAAATGCTTGTAATGTGTTAGCTGAAAATTATATATAACTTAAAGTGGCTCTGTTAAGTCTGTTTAGTCGTGTGTTTCATTGACATTTTAGTTAGATGACTGTCTCCCTCTTTTCTTCTTTGTTATCAGTGCATGTTGGTTTTACATACTGTTCAAATAGTGTTAAGGTGGTAGGGTGCATCTGAAAAAAGCTTTAACAACATTTCTGCAGTTTTTATATTTTTGCTCTAAATCATCTTGAACAAATCCCTGTGTGTTTCTTTTTCTGCTATGCCGAAAGTTCTGGTTGTTCATCCACTTCTGGTCTTAAGTCTTGTTTCAGAACCCGTGGTGTCTAGTTATTGGTTCAGATGCCTAGCTAGCACATTTAAACACTGCCTTACACTTGAAGAGAGAAGAGGAAATCCAATTAATGAGAAAAGGGCTGAGACTTAGATCAAGAAGCTGACCTGTCAAGATGTCAAATGATACTTTTGTTGTTGTACGCATCTTCAAGATCACTGCAGCAGAACAAGTTTTCATGCCTGTGCATATTAAAAGCTCATATAGAAAGAACACAAACAAAAAGTAAGCCATAGCCCTGCTTGAATTCCAGAAAACATAAAAAAAATTTTTTACAAAGGTCACTAATAAATTTATTTAAAATACATTGTCTAGGAAGAGGTTGGACATGTCTTTTCCTCTTCAAATATTGAATTGAGTAATCAGTAAACATGAACAGTGTGCAGCATTGAATGGAATTCACCCCCCAGTGCCAAAAAAAAACCACACGTAAATCAGGTGACTCGTGCTGTGACCTCTGAGGCTAATGAAAGAAAACTTTTCTAAATGCTATTGTTAGTTAATGTAATCATGTTCTGGTCTCCTGAAAGTTTGCGCAAACTAAGCCAATATCATTTGCTCTCATTAACAGGTCACTATAGACAAGCATTTCCTGCTTATGACATTTACAGGGCATTGGGCCCTACCGAAAGCATCAGTTTTTATGCTTTTTGGGACAAAGGGGTTTTTAAAAAAAAGTTGAAGTACTTTGAACATGTAAAAATGTAAAAAACAAATGACAAGGGGGGAGGGGGCATTCTGGAAAAGATGCGGAAGACCACAGTGCAAATTTATTCCAGGATGTGATATGATTGGTGTTTTGCACATGAAAACACCAGAAGTAGGTCACCTGGCTAATGATAGTCATTTGGAACGATTGTAATGTGAGAAAATTCCTGAACAGGACAAGCTACTAGATGATGATGTTAACTTTCTGAATTACTTGAAGAATTCTATGTTAGTTAACTAGATCACTACACACTGTTGTGCGTCAGCTATTTATTTCCCTTGTAGACATACTTCTAGTGTTGTCCAGCTCAATTTGTTTAAACAATTTCAGCTTGTGGTTACTGAAAGAACCCAGAATTTGAGACGACTTGAAGCCCAAAGAAATGAGCTCAACGCTAAAGGTAATTTAAATGCAATCTTTTATTGAAATCTTAAATTTGGATATGAGACGTTTGCGAGAACAAGTTGACTATGAATCAGCAACCATGACCAGACTGCAAGAACAGCATATTAAAAGGTGTGTGGCTAGAGAAGAAGACTATGCAGGAAGCCAAAGAAGAATAAGAAACCAAACATAGGACTGGTGTCATCAGCCGTTGCATGCTTCGTGATTTACTGAGAAGGGAATCTGGGCATTTATGTACTGAATGGTTTGACGTGCTGTTCTGTTAATCTGTCAACTAACTAACTATAAACTGGGTTATAAGAGAATATCTTTTGGTTCCACCTACAGTATTATAACGTGAATTGGGAAGACAGAGAAGTCACAGCTCCTGTCTGTTAGTGTGACTAGCAAGACTTGTGTTTAGAAAATTCTTCCACAATTTGAGCATGGGATTTTAGGACCAGTGTTGGCATCATGTATTATTTCACGTGTTTCTCGGATACTTAGCTACTAACCTGTTTACAGTCATTTTCTCCTTTATCCCTATTCTTATTCTGATTTTTCCATTGCATGCCACATGGTTTGTGGCATCTTGCTTCCACAATTTCACCTCACTGTCTATATCATTGATATTCTATTGCTGACACACATTTAAATATCATAGTAGAGGCAAAGCTCTACATCTGCCCATCTGTAATTCAATTTATAGGAAGTCCTTGTCATCCACCAGGTGTGTTCCTAGCTATCTGGACCTTCGAAGATTGAGTACTGAGGCAACTATTATTGATGCCAGCTCTTTCCTATACCTCAGGGTTTTTTTCTAGTGTTGCCACTTAATGCCATATTCTTTATAATCATGTTACTACCATAAAGGAGAGTGCTAACAACCCAGATTTCATAGACAGTAGTTTTTATTTTAACTGTGAGCTTTTTTTTTTTTTTTTGTCTGCTTATTGTTGTTGCTTCCTTACCTATCCTGATATTATTTCTTGGTCCAGTGATTGTTATTTACTGGGTATCCCAGATATGTAAAATGATCAACTGATTTCAGCTCTTCACCATCAAATGAAGATTACCGGTTTATCTTTAGCATCTTTTACCATAATCTCTGTCTTCTTTTTGCTGATTGTTTTAGTTGAATTCCAAATCAGGCTTGAACGAATGCAGATAGTAAACTTTGCAGTTTCTCCTCTGTGGGGGCTGTAGTTGAGTTGGAGCATCTTCTTCAGAGCGCAGTTTTCTGATGAGTGCTTTCTTAATCCTAATCTTGGCTTTCAGTCTACGGGCATTGTAGAGGATGCTGTTAGAGTCAGCATGGATGAATATACCACCCTCCTGATCTACAGAAGCATATTTCAAAAGGAGTGAGAAGTATAATCCAATAATGGTTTGGGCAAGTACACATCCCTGCTTTACTCTATCCTTGATTCCTCAGGTGTTACACTGTCACACATGATTATGTCTCTCGTCTGATTGCAGAAAAATAGCTTGTATTTCATGTAAACAATAAGCTAATATAGAGATTATAAAAAGAGAGTTGTTGAGTAAAAAATTGACATCAGAGCACTCCAGGCATTCCCATGTGTGCTCTGTCCTCATCCTCAGCAGCCAATGCAGAGTTCCAATACTGATGGTACCGGTCGCATTCTGGTTATATGTCTGTCTTGCCTTCTGAGTGTAGTGAGCCGGCCAGACCCTCTGGTTACACCCAGGTGCCTCATTCTCTCCAGGCCATAATAATCTTGTTTCTCTACTGATTCCGTTGCTTGTTCTCAAAAGGCCTTGACCACATCTGCCTTGTCATGTATCAATTCACCACCCTGTGGTGCAGATCCATCTAATCATTACCCACTACACCGACATAGCCTAGAGAAAAGATCCAAAGTATGCTCACTACCTGTGACCTTCCCAGTTAAACTTGCCACTCTGCTCAAAGCATCCCTGTCTTCACCTTTCTAAGCATGCTTTCGGGGTCTGTTACAAATACGACATGTATATCCATCATGTTCTCTAGCCATCAAAGTGCTGCAGTTACCGCCTCCACCTCCATTCTCATGCTAGATGTTGTGGTGTCCTATGCTAAGGTGTCTTGCACTAAAGATTTTCCATTGGCTTTCGCTACGAACCACCAGGTACTTCTCTTTCCTTTCAACACCGAACCATCTGTATAGATAATCAGATCACCTGGGCGTGAATTGTTGTGAATCAACTGTTGGACTTCCATCTCCGTAACACCCGCTGGCCCACTCTCTGCACTCCCAGCCCAGTGTGATCATAACCCTACACAAATCAGACTTATTCTCTAGTACTCTGACCCACTCCTCTCCTCGCCCAGTGTTCTCCAGCATGCATACTTGTCTTATTGTGTCTCTGCTTCAGCCATCCACGATTTTCCCCCTTTCAGCCTCTGACCATTACCTGCAACCAAAGCCTCATGCGGAAGGTTGCTTTGTCTGCAGCTACTCTGAGGTATGACCTAGCCTGCAGCACCTTTAGCCTATCTACAATAGTCGGCAGTGCAAGGTTGTATTGCATGCACACAATCAGGGTGTCTCTTGTACATTCCTGGATCACCTTCATAGCTTCATTCTGTATGCACTCCAGTTTCTCTAGCTGACTCTTCGAGACAATGAGTAACCCCAATCCATATTCAGTCACTGAGATGATTAAGAGCTGGTAAAGTGTGAACAGCATTCTCTACTCCATGTCCATCGCTGCCATAATCTTTAGTGCATTATACCTTTTTGATCCTTTGTCACAACCCCCTCTATGTGATCCTTGAAAGACAAACTTGTGTCAAAGGTGATTCCCAGGTGTGGCAGTCTGCTGTCTCTTTTGATGTCCCTGCCATTTTCTTTGAGTCTGGGAACATCAGCTCTAACAATCCTGTTGTCCAAAGAACACCATACGACGGTTGCCTTTTCTGGGTTGATTACAGCACTCATCTCTGTACACCAGTCGACCACCTTATCTATTGTTGCCTGTAACTTTTCAGCTATTTGATTCCGATCTATCCCCTTCCAAATATGAGTACATCATCTGCATATGTCAATGAACCCAGGCAGAGAGCTACCCGGCGAGTATACAAAATGGCTGCTATGGTGAAAAAAAGTGAAAAGATTTAAGTGAAATGTTTCTGCCACATAAAAGACACAGCATACTTTTTAAGCCCATACTGGTGTTAAAACTTACAGGCTAGATATAGACAGTGATAAAAGGGGGAGGATAGCATCAAGAGATTGGCCAACAGCAGTCTTGGAGAGAGTACAACCAGGTTGAGAGATGGAGAATGTTGGAGATCAGTTGTATCCAGCATTGTGGAGGAGCAGCATCTGGTTGATTGATGACTGTTTAGTGTGAATGCTGGGAGAAGCCGTCCAAAGTGGATGAAGTTAGTAATCTATATAGTTTTATTGTTTAGTTCGAATGCTGCGTGAGGAACTTCAACTTCTTCAGGAGCAAGGCTCATATGTCGGAGAGGTAGTGAAACCCATGGACAAGAAAAAGGTGCTTGTAAAGGTATGTTACTTGTGTCTTCTCTGGATGCCTTGTCTGGAGTAGACAGTGGCAGTCTCCACCGTTAAATATAATCTGAAATTTAAGTGAAGTTAATGTTGCTTATATTATTATGTGTTGCTGGCTGTTGAAACTTTCCATGTACATCTTTCTCTGTCTTCATCTGTTTCTCTTTCCACATATTTCAAACATGCATTTTTTTTTTCATCTCTTCTATTGATATTCCCCATTAATTTTGTCTTTTTCTTGGCCTTGATGAGTAATCTAGTAGTGCTTGCAGCTGTCAGAGAGTTGGCATTTGTTTTCTTATCTTTCAGCAATATTCTCAACATGTTTCTTTAAAAAAAAGTTCTGAAATATTGTTTTAGAAAGATGTTATTCTATTCATTAACTGCTAAACAGGGAAGGGATGGGGATATTTTTTTCAACTCTAGTGTGTGCCAGCTTGCCACTTGTCTCTGCTCTGTTCCATTCTTCTGTGCTTGAATGAGTATGTGTTTTATTAAATAAATCCTGTTTTAAAACCATGGTTCCCTAGCTGTTAGCCTGCTGGTTTATTAACATTGTTATCCAAGTATTTGACAGTATTATCTTTATTCTGTTGGAAAAGTACAGTGTGAAGTCAAAAGTCAACACAGCCTGGTAAAATGATGTACCAGAAGATTTTAATGGAAGAAAAATGGTTAAAGAAAGAGCTATGCAGTCTCAACTCATAATGCTACTGTTTAGTACCACCTCACAGCTAATGATATTTGAGGTTGTTTTTAACGATATCGTTATAAATATAGGGGAGGGGGGGGGGGGTGATTGAGAATGAAGATATCAATATAATGGCTGATATGTGTCAAGAGATTTTCTTTGCGGTTTACGGGTTAACACTTCTTTAATGTGGTATATGAAGCATGCTTCCTCATAGTCTGGTGATACTTTATATATCTGGTGATGCTTTAGCTAAAATATTTCATGCTTGATCATTTTCAGGTGCATCCAGAAGGAAAATTTGTGGTAGACATAGATAAAAATATTGACATGAACAGCGTCACTCCCAATTGCAGAGTCGCCCTGAGAAATGACAGTTATGTCCTGCATAAAATTCTCCCAAATAAGGTACGTATGTCACAGACTTGTCTGTTTAGATAGTTCATTGTAAACTTTTTCTCCGATGACCCTTGGGTAACATATTGTGGTGTACAGCTAGGCTTCTGTATCAGCACCTTTCAGCCCAACATTCTTCTTCTTATTCGCATTTACTGGTTGCAAACTGTAACTGAAAGTTCTGTTTGTTTATCCATTTCTGGAATTTGGTCGTGTTCCAGGACTGTAGTGTTGCGTGCACATTCAATTTTTAGATCTGGTTTATTATATGTAGATGTTGGTTCCTCATCTTTCAGGCAGATGCACTCCGACTTTAAAGGAAAACTCCAAATGCTTGTTAAGAGTTGATCTGTGTTGTCTTGTTCCTTGTCCTAATGGGCCTGAAACCTACACGAGGTGCCCAGCATTTGATTTAAGCAGACTTATAATTAGTCACCTTCATGACATGCTTGTAAGGAGACAGTGGGTCTCTCTTTCCCCCCCCCCCCCCCCCAAAAAAAATTTGGCTTTTGGAACCCACACGGGGTATTCTTTGTTCACAACACATTTATTACGACCTTATTTAATGTTTGTCGATTTTCCAGTCATTAGTTATAAACATCATCAAGTGCATTGTTAACTGGTAGGAGTGAGTATGTTTTCTCATAATGTAGCCAGAAATTTAGTGGTACTACTTTTCCTTTTGAGTTAACAAAGCAGTTCAATAGAAGGATCGGGCTGCAGGGCAACACATGATCTCTAAAATACTGCCCAGACTTTGTGCTATGGAGAGAAGGCACTTCACTCCAAGCCTTAATTAGTATCCCCATGGGCTTTGAGTTTCATGCCTCAATTGTTCGTCCATCACAGGGGATGAGGACCACTCTTTCTTTCATCTGTCCTGAAACCTTAGTTGAATTCTGTGTCTATAAGTGACTTATAAGCCCAATGCGGACTGGGAAGGATCTAGGACAGTGAGGGCAGGGAACAATGTCTGTCTGTGTGAAGTGATGAAAGAGTGAGAGTGACTTGCAAGATTAATTGGTTTAAAGTGAGGAAGAATTGTGCAGTATCATTGACCTCGCTCTCTTACCTGTGTCCATCCAGTGGTAGGAGAAGTCGAGGCGACAGGAGATGTCTCCCTTTAGCACAGTAAAACAGTGTCAAAGGCAGAAAATTGCCAACAATTTCAACAGAAAAACTGCAACTTTTTGATGTTTTTTATGTTGTCTTTGTGCATTGGCCTCTTTCAAAACATTTGTCACTGTCTTTTGTTTTATTAAATACTTTCTTAGTTGTAAACTTTTTATTAGGCCTAGGAAATTATATGTCTTTTCCACAGCACAATTCTCTTCTCAGATAAATGAGAAGAAGAAGAAGATATTACTTCTCTGTGATTAGGATTTGTTTTTAAATTGTTTTTGTTGCCTTGTTCTTGTGGTTTCTGAATGTTCAGAACCTAACAGTTAACATTCATTTTATGCTTAGGTCGACCCTCTTGTGAGCCTCATGATGGTTGAGAAGGTTCCAGATTCAACTTATGAAATGGTTGGTGGTCTAGACAAACAGATCAAGGAGATCAAAGAAGTGATTGAGTTGCCTGTAAAGCACCCAGAGCTGTTTGAAGCACTGGGAATTGCTCAGCCTAAGGTAATGCTGTTTTTTTTTAAAATATATAATTTTGGTGCTCGCCTTATTTTTATATTTAAAAAAATTTACAAGCATATGTTTTAAAAGTTACTTAAACATTTAGATTATTTTATACAGTATGTAAGTCATATAGCATGGACCAAGAAGAAAGAAAATATTGACATCTTAAAAGATGTGAACATCAAGGACAATTAGCTCGTTAACAGCATCTTGTCTCAGAAAATGAAATACTTTGGCCGTATAAAATACCATTGTGCATTGGAAAGTACAGTAGTGGAGAGCTTGGTATTGGGTAAGATAGGCAGTTTTTTTGGTGGTGTTTGGATATTTTCTCCAGGCAGACATATTGGCTGACCTATACAGATGTCTTTTGGTTGAAAGATGAAAGAAGTGCATGAAGGTTCATTGCGAAAGCGAATGGATGACACTTGGTGCAGCAAAGTCTAGTCTGAATGATACTATAATATCATGTTTAAGGGTGGAGGCAGTTACAGCACAGCAGCTTTCTGCTGGCTTTAGAATCAGCTGCACACGCATGTTATGATTTTAACCAACTCGCAAGGCATGTCAAGAAAGGTGGAGACAGGAATGCTGCATGCAGGTTAGCAAGCATCGCTTGGGGGTGGAAGGAAAGGGGGCGGCATTCTTTAGATATTTTCTCCGGGCAGTGATTTTGGCTGATTCAGCACCAGTAGGTGGTGAATTTATTAATGATTAATTATATGTGGTCAAGGCACTTTGGGAGTGAATGAACAGTGAGGAAGCACGAATAGATCATTATGGAATGGAGAGAATGTTACAGCTAGGAGTGACAGGGATCTGATCAACATTCTACACTCGAGAAGAAAAGCAAGACGAAATATAATCAAACTGCTACTAGCACCATCAGAAATTAGAACTCTTCGTTGGCTGCCGAAGATGGGGACAAAGTGCTTATGGGAATATCCTGAGTGCTGTTTCAGTTCTGAACTAAACACTGGGCAGGAGAGTTAGTGAAGGGTTGAGTTTCTTTCAGGTATGTAGTGATGGGAGTGATGTTCTGTAAAGGACCTGCTACATGATGATGCTGTAGGTCATAGGTTACTAAAATAAGTGACTGAGTCGTATCAGAGATGTTGAGTTAGGAACTCGTTTAAAATGCAATTAATTTTTTTTTTAAGTATATATGAATAATTCATTCTCTAACTACTGACTGCATGCAGAACAGTGACTTGACCAAGTCTCCCCCCCCCCCCCCCCCCCTTTCCCATCACATTATGAAGTCAAGAAACTGAAGTAGACGAATCAATGCCACCCCACAAAAAAGCTTTACATTTTCTGAACTAAGTCATCACATAGATGAACTTTCCATAATAACTTGAATGGAAAATACATTCCCTGAAAATGTTTTTTCCTAAAGATTGTTGGTATATCCTACAGAGACCACAGAACAAATCTTGGTTGATCTTACATTAGCCAGTCCAACAAAGGGATCACAAGAGGTTCTGGACTGTGTGGCATGTGACCATGGCTCGTAAACTCAGCAAACGCAATATATTATCAGCTTGTGTTATACCCCTGTTTGTATTGACAATATTTGCTGTGATATAAATTATTGCTTTTTGGTAAAAGTCATGGTCAACTCTTTCGCCGGGATAATGCTAAAAATGGCCAGTACTCCCCTTGGGAATTCTTCCTAAAAAAATCCCTCAAAAATAATTTTGCATTGGTAAGTACATTTTTTTTTTTTTTTTTTTTTTTTTATTTGGTTATGTAAATTTTTCACTTTTTTCCCCTTAAAATATAAAGATATATGTAGGGAGTATTCAATAAACATGAACAGAGCGAAGCATTAAATGGAATATATTTCCTTGGGTCTAAAACATATATGTATTCGATGACTCATGCCGTGACCCACTGAGTTCTTTTACTGAGGCTTACGGGAAATGTTGACGTAAACTTGGTTTTAAAAAAACTTTTTATTTTGAAGTGAAGCCTCTCTTTCCCCAGTGCTGTTTTTAGTTAACACATTCCCATCCTGACCTCATAAACCTTTCACATGCGTAAACACAACCAGTACCATTTGTTAAACGTCTTGTAAACAGGTCATTATAGACAAAATAGGAAAACTAAAATTTTTGATGAACTGGCCTCTACTGGCAGTGACAGTTTTGTGACTTCTCTACTATGGTTAATTGTTGTTTGTCATTTCTGTGACCAGGGAGTGCTGCTTTATGGACCTCCAGGCACAGGAAAGACTCTGTTAGCTCGTGCTGTGGCCCATCACACAGAGTGTACCTTCATTCGTGTCTCTGGCTCGGAGCTGGTGCAGAAGTTCATTGGTGAAGGTTCCAGGATGGTTCGAGAGCTGTTTGTTATGGCCAGGTAAGATACTAAAGAAGCCTTATCATTGTTTCCCCCCCCCCCCCCCCCAAATCCGAGAGACATTTTCTTGGAAATAAGGTCAGTTTATAGGACCCTTTTAAAGCTGTTGGCACATTATTCTTTTAGTGCTTGACCCATTTTTTTTATATATGTCAGTGCTCAATGAGAGATGTGGTCAACATGACACCAGCCACTTTTACTTCCATAGACATTTCTGGTTTAACTTGTAGGCTGAGTTGCACTACTTAAAAGTTAGTTGCGTATCCTTTACAGGATGTTTCAGAACCAACCCCAGCATTTTTTGGCTGTTGTGGTTTTTCCAGGCAAGTTTAAGACCAAGAAGCAGAACCTTATATCCGCCACGACACCTAGTGCAGTAAAAGTGGAGGTGAAGAAGAAGAAAGTTAATTATTATTGTTTGTAGAACTGTGACCACTATTGGTCTTCGTCTCTCTCTCTCTCTCTCTCTCTCTCTCTCTCTCTCTCTCTCTCTCTCTCTCTCTCTCTCTCTCTCTCTCTCTCTCTCTCTCTCTCTCTCTCTCTCTCTCTCTCTCTCTCTCTCTCTCTCTCTCTCAAACACACACATATTAGTTGCTGTTACTTAGTTACTTTTTGTTATTTGAAAATGTGTGTTTATGTGTGTGTATATATGTGTATGTGTTTATTTTCAGAGAGCATGCACCATCTATCATCTTTATGGATGAGATTGACTCCATAGGCTCTTCACGTTTAGAAAGTGGATCTGGTGGTATGAAATGTGTTAAATTCTATTGGTTTACAGTTGTTAGATTTGCTGAACTTAAATATGTATAAGTGGCAATGCTATGTTGTTGTTGTTTTTTTTTAATTGTAGATGTTACTCTCCAATAGGTGGTCACTTATGGATTTATAGATTGGTAATTAGATAGATCATTTGCTGATATCAATAAAAAAAGATATAGTAATCTATTTTGCATAAATGGTCACTGAAATCAGAAACAAATGGATTGTTGCAGTGACATCCAAAAGAAACCCTAAGATGAACATTGATGAGAGAGGCCAAAGGCACTGGACTGAATTTGATTAATGATATTGAAATAATTAATAATAATAATACTCTCTCATTTCCTGTCCCCCCTCCCCCATTTTCCTATTTTATTTCTTGTTTAAATGTTTAGTAAAAATAAATCTTCTTAGCAACTCAAGTACACAGGAAGTTGTATTGGAAGGGGGGGGGGGGGGGTCGTTCTGCGTGAACATGGTGGATATTTTCTTTTGATGTGTTTGTTTTCTTAGCCGGCCTTAATCTCTGTCCATCTCCCTTCCTGCCCCCTCACATTTTGTCCTACCTGTTCCTCACTCTCTGCCTGTCTGTGTCACTGCTTTCCTCTCTCTTTCTCTTTGTATTTGCCGCTCTCCCTCACTCCCCACCCCCCTCCCCCACTCTCTCCCCCCCCCCTCTCTCTCTCTCTCTCTCTTTCTCAGTACCTTCAGTTGGCGTAGAAGGTTATGTGTTGCCTAGTGCAGAACATTTCATGTCTACCACTCCCCCTCCCTCACACACACATTAAATATATGTGTACTTTTAAAAACACATTTGCCGTCACCCCCCCCCCCCCCCCCCCTCCTTTCTCCTCCCACATTGATGACACCTAGGGGAGGGAGTGCACCCCTTCCTGCTACCTTCTTCCCTCTATATCTCATCTTATTTCTTACTCCCTTCTTTCTCTCCCTGTCTCATTCCCACTTTATTTTCTTAAACTTTATTCTCTCACCTCCTCTGTCTCACCCTTACCACCTCAGCCTTCTACACCACTTTCCACCACCTCCTCTCTCCCCTCCTTTCTGCAATTGGAAAACAAGAAATAATAATAAGTCCACTGCTGCCCTGACCTATTTATGTGTGTGGGTAAACTTCTCTATTTTCCACCAGTGGTGGGTTGGGATCCCCTGGACTTTTCTTTTCTTTTCTTCATAAAATGACCTTGGCTCTCAGGTCACCAGTTTTAAGTGTAAGAAATTGAATTATTGTTGTCACACACAGATAGGACAAGCATGGGGCAGTAGGGGTTAGCACTGTTGTTTATGGACCACAGCCACATTCACATTGGGAGAGGGTAGGAACCGGAAAAGTGGCCTCACTTAGAGATTTCCTAATTCTATTTTTAGCACTCAGTGTTCTTACACCCCCCCCCCCCCTTTTCCACAACCGTGTCTTACCTCTCTTCTCTCACCCCTTCTCTTTCCTTTGATCTTCTACTATTCTCCTTTCTCTCTCCATTCTTCCTCTCTTCCTTTCCTTGCCCTTTCTCCTGTCCCATCTCTTCTTTGTCTCCTCTCCATCCTGTCTTTTCATTTTCTCTAGATTTCCTTACCGGCTCCCCTCTCTCATTCTCCCCCCCCCCCCTCTCCCATTTTTTCTGGTTCATCTACATATTTTTTTGCCCCATAACTATCTTTTCCTAGTGGTTGTGTCCACTACACTTGAAATTGTGTGGGGGGAGTAGGTGGGGTTTCAGCAGGAGGCTGTTTTTTTTTCTTTGATGTATCTTGTCTCCCTTCCTGCCCCTCTTTCTTAATCTGTGTTTGTCACTGCCTTCCTTACCCACCTCTCTCTCTCTGTTTGCCTCCCTTCATCACTTCCTCTTTGTATACCTCCCTCCCATTCTCCTGCTCTGCCTTTTTTCTCTTTCTTTGGTTCTCTCCCTCTGTCTGTTGCCTCTCTGTGCTGTCCCTTTGTCTCTCTCTCCTTTGTCTACATTTCTCTCTGCTTGCATCTGCTTCTCTCCCTGTCCGTTCTCTCTCCCTCTGTCTCCCTTCTTTCAACTCTTTGTCATATTTTCCTCCTTCCATATCTCTGTTTTGTTCCCTTTTTCCTTCTCTTTTCATCTGCCCATCTCTGTATCTGCATTCCCTCTTTCTGTATTTGTCTCCCTCTCTGTCTTTCGCTGTCCCTTCCCCACTTTTCCTCATCATGTCTCCATCCCTCCCTCTCATTTTTCCCCCTTCCCCAGACTTCTTTTCCTTCTTTTCTCTACCTTCATCTGTCCATCTTTACACTGTCTCTCCCAGCCTACCTCAGCATGTGTCTTCCTCCATCTCTGCATGACTCTCTCTCTCTCTCCCCCTACCCCTTTCAGGTACCAGGTCCAGAACAGACAGGACTTCAGTTTGCTGCCCTTTACCACCAAGCCCTAAAAAAAAAATTTCAAACACTATATCAAGCTCAGGGGCCGACCAACACGAAGATGGGCACAGGATATAAGTGACTCCTTGAATATAAAAAAGTACATGAGACGGGAGAGCTGGTGAGAGCCGAGTTTTTTTTGACAGGACAAAGAAAATGCTACATGATGATGATATATGTGCTGGTATACCAACACATGTGGCACAAATGAAGTACATTGTGTGCTCAGTTCACCCTTAAACAAGGCAAAAATCTTGTTTCAGTATTACACCGAGACAACCTTGAAAAAAACTAAGGAGACCTTGAAAAGACTTGAAATTGATTGGTAAATTTGGCTATGAACCCTGAAATGTTACGTCTCTCCAAAACACTTCTCTGAGGTACAAGATGGAAGAGAAGAAGTAGATCTAGCACAGAGAATTTCATCCTTCGTTTCTAATAGCCATCTCAGTGCTTTTGTTATGTACCTAACAGTATTAATGGGCCATAATGCATTTTGGATCCTTTGTGGTATGCATTGTGTTCACATCATTCTGTACATATCTTTTATGTAGTTTTAAAATAGTTTATGAGTGTACTTAGGAAAATGTGGAGATCTTTGTGGCGAAGTGGTCAAGCTGTTTGCCTCGCAATGTGAAAGTCATAGGTTCATTTCATGGACTGTCGTTCCATACATGGGGGCAATTTTTGTTGAGATCCTGGGGATCATTACTGGAGTTATGGAGTTCATGCTTTGTGTGATGATTCGGCAGGAAGCTAGCCATTCTGTGATGAGAGACTGAACCGCAGGGGATAAAACCCATTGCAGTGAAGTCAGTCCTCTCGACTTCAACTTTCACTTAGAAAAATTTGAATTTGTTGTCTTACTAAGGTGACAGCGAGGTTCAGAGAACAATGTTGGAACTCTTAAACCAGCTGGATGGATTTGAACCAAAGCAGAATATTAAAGTAAGTAAATGAATGCACTTCTTGACTATGTGCATGATTTTTATTCATTAGAATTCATTATACACAACACTTGACTATTCTTGTGTTTACTATTTGTCTAAGTATTAAAATCTATTATATTTTCTTCTTCTTGTCATTTGTCCAAGTGACATAATTGCGTTATGCCTATTTACAACATAGCTGCGAAATTTGCTCCTTTCTGCTGACACATCTAGCATTTGTTGACTAGGTTAACCTAGGTTAACAGAAAAAGAGCTCAGCGAGATTTTATTTTATTTTTTTTTACTGCTCGCCCATTTGTTTCCTAGACTGATTCCAATATTTGTAACAATGTGCATCCTTTTTGCTCATTTATCAGATAAACTGATTGGGAAGCCATTTAGTCAGCATGCTTGAGACAAGAACTAATAAATGTTATGACTGCTACTAAGATGACAACAAATTCTAATGTGAACTTCCCAGTTAAATTCTACTAACTAATTGTGAGACAAACTAGGTGTTTATCACTAGCAAATGTTATTTTTGATTTCTGGCTCACCTTTCTCGATGTTTTCCACAACAGGTGATCATGGCCACCAACAGAATTGATATTTTGGATTCTGCTCTTCTGCGCCCTGGAAGAATTGACAGAAAGATTGAATTTCCTCCACCAAATGAAGAGGTGTGTTATTGAAAGTGTAGTTTTCTTTGTGTGTGTGTTTTGGGCCCCATTGTGGCTGACACAAGAATAGACCCCCTCGTTGAGAAGGAACACATAGGAGAGGAGGTCTGCCTCACTGAGCTTTCTAAATGATCTCCAGTGCTTGACCTTTTCAAAGCAAATTATATGTAGAAAAACACAGGCCAGCTGTGAAGCCAAAACAGCAGCTGGAGTAAAAATCAACCTTATAATGTATCTAGTTTTATAGTTTTTATATGTGTAAGTTTTTTCTTTGTTTGTTTCATACAGCTTTGAGTATGGTCTTGAGCAAATATTCTCTTCTTGATGGGTTGTTAGTTAGTTTTTATTCTCTTAGGCCTAGGGTGCTGTTTAGGGTAGAGGCCATAGCTCTCCATGTCTGGCAGTTCGTTGCCACCTGTTTTAAGTCCTGGATGTTTATTAGACCCATGGTTGAGCCCTCCCTGATGATGGTTCTGTGTAGGGTCTCTCTTGGTCTTCCCTGTTTTCTGTTCCCTTCCTGTGTCCATATAAGGGCTTGATGTGGGAGTCTGGTCTTATCCATTCTGAGTGCACGGCCGATGTAGTTCCATGTGCTGTACTAGGTTCATGATAGTGAGAGTTGTATAATCCTAAGAAGAGCTAATAAGTAACAACAGCAGCAGAAGAAGAGATTGCTGGTTATAATTATGCTAATAATTATGCATGATTTGATAGTTATATTATTTTTCAATTCGTTGATGGTGTTTATAAAAAGGTTTCACCGTCACTGAAAATATACTATTTGTTTTGATTAGGCTCGTCTTGATATTTTGAAAATCCATTCACGCAAAATGAATCTCACCCGAGGGATTAACCTGCGCAAAATTGCTGAGATGATGCCTGGAGCTTCAGGTGCTGAAGTCAAGGTAAGCAGTTGCAAGGCAAATTTTGGTTAAACTCATTTTGATCAGTAAATGTATTTGAATTTGCAGACAGATGGACTTTTGAGCAATTTGTGCTTATGCATGTTGCATATTTGTGCACATACAGAAGCAGTCCTTTTTTTTCTTAGTTTTTAAATGCATGGTTGCTCCTATCTTCGACATGTAATAATAGATTATGGCAGAAATTAAATAAGTCAAAAACAGTAAACATTTGGCCCAAAATATTTTCAGCAGCATGCAAAAACTACTGACATCTGAAGCTATGAACAACACATTAAAAATGAGAATTGTTGAATGTTATGTATACTGAACTCTACCGTATGGTGCAGAGGCCTTGACAGTGAATAAGCAATTAGAAAATTATTGAAACCGAACATGTTGATATACAGAAGACTATGTTGTGTTTCATGGGGAAAGTCAAATACAAATACTGAGGTTCTAAAAGGATTAGGAATGAAAAGAGAATTGTTGATGGGAAAATAAAGAGATAAGTGAAATATTTTAGACATAACATTTTTACAAAAACCATTCTAGATGGATTAGTTGAAGGCTGGTGAGGACGAGGTAGACAGCAATACAAGTGAGAGATTGATGAATAGAAGTGTAAGAGAACCTACATCCATGACGAAAGGCGGAGCATGTTGCAGATCTTTTAGAGCCAGCCTTCATAGTGGAGATGGCAGCTGATTGATTAATTGAAATTAATGGAAACACATAATGATTGCTGAAAAAGAGGCGTTTGCTTGTAGAACCATTTGTGTTATGTATTTTTTTTTTGTTAAGCATTGTAAGCATTGACTTATATTTTACTTCGCTTTCTGTCAATCTTTTTTTTTTTCAATTTGTTTGCGCAATTGTACTTTATTCAAAACAGTGTCTTCCTTTATGAATTCACACAGTTAGGACATGAACAAATAAATGAGATACAACAAAATATGCCAGGCAATATATTATGCTATCTATTGTTTGTGCCCTCTCATCTGAGAGTCAGATCACTTTTGTTCCTAGTGTGGTGCTGAAATTGTTCTATTGTTTTTCCAGGGTGTTTGTACTGAAGCAGGCATGTATGCTCTCAGAGAGCGCAGGGTTCATGTCACCCAGGAGGACTTTGAACTGGCAGTAGCAAAGGTTTGTGGGAGGCAGCATCTAATCTATTTTATTGTATTTTTAGTCTTTCTGAATTTTGAACAAGTATGAATGTATTAATTGAAATGCTTCATCTAGGGTATATAATATTCTTGTTAAAATATGGTACTATCAAAACTTTTTTTTTCTTGTCAAGAAGAAGTCTAGTGCAACAGAATGCTGCCTAGCAGCATTGGTCTGCTTTAAGACAATGTGCCAGCTCATGCAGCTGATGGCAGGCACTATAGTCCAAAAGTTAAAGTCGAGAGGATTGACTTCATTGCACTGAATTTTGTCCTATATAGCTGAGGGCATCACATAAAGCACTAGCTCTATAGCTGCAGCGATAATCCACAAAATCTCCATAAAATCTACACTGGTGAACTGAGCAACATGTTCTTGAAATGAACCAAAGACCTTCAGTGTGTGAGGCAAACTGTTTGACCATTTTGTTGTTCAGCCACCCCCTTCCCTCCTTTTCCACCCATGAAGAGAAGAGTGAAATGCATCACCTTGAGATGTTCACACCAAAATTCCAATTATGTGCCTTGACTGCTTCAGACTAAAGTTTTAACATCTTTAGCGGCTACTTATTATGAAGAAGACACTGGGCAGAAGATGGGCAATGTTAGGATCTCTTGGTATGATATGGTTTAAATAATCATCATTCTGTTGTGCAGTTTTATGTCATATAGGGCTCACAGCCTATTCCTCCATTCCATTCTATCCTGTGAAATCAATTCAATATCATAGGTGAAATACAGTCCAACACCTTTGGCCTCTTTCGTCAACGTCCATTTTAATGTTTCTGCTCGGCGCCCTCGCTTCCTCTATCACTTTTTTCCCATTTTAGAGCCTGTCTGGTGATTTTTCTGCTTGTTTCTTTTCAGGATGTGTCCAGTTTAGTGCCATCTTCCTTGTCCTATGGTGGTTGCCCAGACATTTCTCTTTTTTTAACCCCCACCCCTCTTGAATTCATCCCATTTTGTGTTCAATATTTTCCCCAGGTAAATGGTTGAATATCTAGCCTCTTATGAGAAGGAGGAGGAGAAGGCAAGGTAAAGAGAATGGCAGGAGAAGTAGAAAAAAAAAGCTAGCAGTTCATCACTTTCTTTTGCTTGTTTTGTTTCAGATCATGTTGAAAGACTCTGAAAAGAACATCTCCATCAAGAAACAATGGAAGTAGATGTTTACATCCGATAGTGTCAGCTGACAGTGAAGCGATGATGATGTTTCTTCTGAGAATGAGACTTTTTTCTTCAGATTTTTGTTTAATTGAATGAGTGTTATTATATGTTATAGTAATACGTCAGTAATGTATGGTGCATCTTCATAGACATGTTCGTTACATACTTTTCCTATGGAACTGTATTTGTTTCTGATTCACAAACATACTGATTCCCTTTAAATCTTGTGACAGAACTTGTAATGAAATATCTTTCATTACCTGCATAAGTAATCTTAGAAGCTGTACCTACAATTTAAAATGATCTTGCCAGTTTTGTTTGCTTTACAGTTTTTTGCCTCATAGTTGTTTTTCTAATCCCTGATTTAACTCCAAGAATCGATATCTTAATTAAATTCTGCAAACAAAATAATTTATGTTTTTTCCTGTGCTCAGTACTACCAACTGTAGTCATGAAGTCATCATATTTCTTTATGACAGTTTCGGCCTTTGGACCCTTCATCTCCAGCTAAAATTAAAATGCCATTTTTTAAGAAAATTATTGAGCTTTAGCTGTCTTTTTATTAGGCTTTTACCTAGACAGTTTGTAAAATATTGTTTCTGCTATTGATTCAAAAATAACATCTATATTATTAACTGTTACAGTCTTATAAAGATATAAGCGAACTTAAATCATGATTACAACAGCAATTTAAATGTCCTGATTTATTTTTCTTGCATTACAAGTCCGTGTTGAAATTCCTGTCCATGTTAAAGTCAGTTTGATGTTTTATTTTTCTTCTGGCTAATGAATATCATTGTCAGTTCCTTAGAAGTTGAAAAAAAAATTTAACAATCCAGATTTCTGACATGTTAACTCACAGAAATACAATATTTATAATTATGAACAGCATTTTGCAAATTAAAAGCAGTGTATAGTAAATAGGTCTGTATCAAACAAATATTTCAAGTGTACTGGGCAGCACTGTATATGTTTGACTTGCATGAATGTTGAGAACGTCATGAACAGATAAAAAGCATAATGATGCCTTGAAATCAGTTCACTCACAAAGAGAATAGCTGGCGACACGCATCAGCAGAAGATATTCTGCATTGTTTAGACACATTATCAGAAGGGTTAAAGCTGGAGTACAGAGTTAACCAGAGGAGTATTTGAGAGGAAGAGGCTTGAGACACCAAGAGAGCAGTTTGTCATTACAGCATGAGAGAACATCAATATCGAAGATGATGAGCAATGCACAAGGTAGACAGTTGATGACAGACATAAAGGCCAGCATTACACTGCATGGCCTGAGAAACAGAGGCTCAATATGATTTAGGATTCAGTCATTTTAAAATATTTAGCTTCAAAATTGTCTCCCTGTACTACTTGTTTTCATACATAAATCTGATTTGTATACTGTGAAACATGTAACATTTGTTCTCAAACAGTCTTTTCATGCCTGTTACACATATATGTGTGTCATGTTTACAACTTGTTTTGTCTTTTGGTTTGTAACTTAAAAAACTGTCAGCGTTTTTAATTGTAGACATGATTGTTTTTCATGGCTGCAGATTATATAATATCCTTTCACAGCATGATAATAACAGTAATGCCTAATATTAAGGATATTTAATCTGTTATGTTCTTGCCAATTACAGGCCCAAGTAAAATACAGAATTTTGAATGGCATTTTTGAAAGTGTTTGTTTGTAATTGGTGAGATTTACTCTTCAGTTTTAATTAGTCATTTGGGATTTTTTTTTTTTTGGCGGGGGGAAAAAGGGGGGGGGGGGCATCACCTCAAATCCGCGAATGTCGAATGTAAAACAAATAATTCTTGAGGCATGGTGTCCGCATCAAGTGCTAGGGGTTCCGGGTTCAGTCTACGGTAAGGGCTGGGCTTTTTTTACGTGGACTTGGTAATTCCCCCTGGTCTCTGGGTAGTGAGATCCGATGCCGCGCGCATTGTCACGCACTTTAAAAATTCCCTTAGCAGTTGGAAATTGAAAAGAGTAGCCTAATGGCACTGCCCAGGCAAAAATTTGGAGTTAAAAATCTACCCACAGTATTTCAGGATCCTCGCCGATGCTACATAGCCTTGCACTGTGCTGAGCTTCTTTGGACTCTGACTTGAGTAAGAAGAACTGAGCACTTATGGGTATATTACCTGTATGCCATGATGTTGATCTGTTGTTCAAACTTTAAACATGGAAATCGGTACTGAAAAGACAGAAGTAATGTCAATAGGAAGAAAGCAGCATATCCTAAATATAACAGTAGAGTGTAAAGGTAGTAAACAGGCATCTGAGTTTAAAATCTAGGAATAACAGAAGATATTAATTTGGATGAAACAAAATTTTTATCTGACATGGTAAAACAAAATGTTGGAAAAGCTTTATCAGCAACAGACAGTCCTGATGAGCACAAACATCTCATATAAAACATATTCATTCCCAACCCATGATCACTCACAACAAATCAGAAAAGAAAATTAGTAACCATGGAAATGAGATGTCTAAGGTCTGTAGGAGTGACCAGAAGAGATAAAATCAGGAATGATGTAATAAAAGTTGGCACAGAACCTATTCTAACTAACATACAAAGACAGCAAATCAAGTGGGGGGTAACATTGTTCTGTGGCCAATGGAGCTCAAAAGGGGACCAAAGAATGGGAAAATTCTTGAGAAACCATATATGCGTTATCACTAAGAGGTTCATCCCCTGTCCCGTGGGAGTACATCCTCAGCAGATGCGACTCCATTTCATCTCGACTGACAACGCGAGTACCTGATTTCGGCCTCGGGCAAACTGGAATGAGTCCCTAAAGAACTTTTCTTGTTCCCTCTTAGTTCTCTTCAAAAATGCTAGGCGCGACAGTGTCTGCTCTTTAAGTGCAGCTAGACCTCGTAATCCCTCCAGTTCGTTGTCCTTAGCGGTTTTGAACCGTTTGCGTAGTGCATTCTTGTCTGAGTCTTCACTTCTCAATATCTCTCCTGCTTTTCTCATACGTGACCCCCAGCTTCGTCTTCTCTACTGTTCCGAACTCGCGGGCACAATGAGCGCAAATTATGTCACCAAACCTTGTTAGTTTTTAGTCACGATTTCATAAATTCACCATCAGTAACCTCACATAAACCAGCTTCCAGCATGACACCCTTTCACTTGCGGGTGGGATCTTATTCTTCACACCTTGAGAAGGAATCTGCGGTGGCCTCCATAACTGTAGTGATGGATCTTTCCAGACGAATGCGGTCTTAAGTAGGTCATGGTTAAACTTTGCCTGTCGTTTCCTGACGATTTAACCACCGCGGGTGCTGGAACAAGCTGGCGACCACCACGTTGTGCACCCTAGCATATTATTCTTCCAGTATGAGTTTTCAGACCAAGCTTCCCCGTAAAGCTTCTCTCACTTACATAACCTGCCCGGTCGCTGGACAGAAGTCACGGCCCAGGAACATTAACATTAATATCATTGTTGGGTCCTTCATCCCACTCCCCTCTTTTTCGGAGGAACCGGGATGCACATTTCTATTTTCCATGTAACTTTCAAGGTATAGACAATACATATTGTCTTCTTCTAATGCCGATAATAAGGTTTCTTAATGAAGAACTTCACCCATAATCATGTGCAGTAATTGCCACAATATAACACTACCGGTTTGGACAGACGGCAAAGTGCCATCGTAAGGTAGTTCAATAAAAAAAAAAGCGCTGGTTGACTTCATTGGCATATACGACAGATGGCTATGTGTTAAGGGGCAGACGAAGTGCATGTGGGTTCAAAGGAAAGTTAAATGAACGTCGCTTAGTGCAGCAAAGCCCTGCATATGATAGCACAACGTCTAGTTTGAGAATGGAGGTGGAGGTAGTCTCTGCTGCCTTCAGCTGGCTTAAGAATCAGCCGCACACACCTGTCGTGATTGTAACTAACTCACAAAGTATGTTGAGAAAGGTGAAGACGGGCATGCTTCGTGCAGAGTGGCAAGCATCCGTTTCAAGGTCCCGGGTAGGCAGTATCCATGGGATATATTTTTACCAGGTCATGCCGGTGTGTTAGGAAATGAGCAGAGAGTAGACTGGCCGGCTCTGCACCACTTGGTGGTGAATTGATGTTTGACAAGCTAGATATTGTGAGGATCCTTTGAGAACGAGTGAACAGTGAGGAAGCGCAGTAGATCATTAAGAGTCTGAAGAGAATGGTGCTGCGATGAGTTACCAACGGATTTGACCGACGCTCAACACTCAAGGGAAGGATGAGACGGATATACAATCAGACGTCTACTGGTGCCATCAGAATTGGAACTCTTCGCTTGCTGCTTAAGATGGGGACGGAGCACTTATAGGAGTGTCCCGAGTGCTGTGATGTCGATTCTTAATTCAACACTCAACATTCAAATGGCATTTACCTCTGTAGCTCTCCATTAAAGGAAAATAGACTTTGGTGGTCACGAGACAAGTTTTGCAATGTCCAGAACGTAAACAAACCTGCAAAGGAACTTTAGATAAGTTGCTTGTCGCAGTCACTTTACTGAAGAATTAGAAGACGGCACCAACATGAAGAGTTTAATTGTCTTCACTCAGCGCAATGATACATTCTACATTGACTACGACGTCGAATTTGCAGACTATATAATTAAAAGAGCCAAAAGTGGAGGCCTTGTCGAGGTACCCATGATTGGATGCGGTCCGGTCTCAAATATGAAATATGTTACTTAGTTTCTGACTAGGCATGTCTTTAGTCTTAACCAGAAATGTACACTGTCCCTGAATATTTAATTCGATAACAACGGCACCCCTTTAGAATAACAGTGTCCTGTCGCTGCAGCTAAAGAAGTAAAACTGAATATTACATTATCTCGTAGCAGAAGATGCAACGTTTGTGAGGGGAGGGGACATATATATTAATAACATAGTGAACCTTAAGAATGATATGATAGCTTACGAAATCTCCGATATTTTAATAACCAACACTTTAAATCTAACAATAATGCAACTTTATTCTTCTTCATTCGCTCTCAAAAGGGCAGTTGACCCCTTGTGTTTTGGTTTACAACTATAGTGCAATATTTGCGCCTTTTGCCATAATATGTCCAAGCAAAACCCTAATTAGTCACCTTATAATGACACAATAGGTCTATTCCACACACACACAAAAGTAGGCCTCCAGAACCCATCAAAAAAAAAACACCCCGGGGGGGAAACCAAAAAAACCCCAAACCAAGGGGGCAAGGGCACCCAAAAGGAAAAACGGGACCAAAACCAGAAGGGGGGCGGGCCGGGCCCCACCCCACAACAAGGGAAAGGGGGGGGGGGGGGGAACCCAAAACTTTTTTAAGGCGGCCCGGGGCCCCCCCCGGGGGTTTTTTGGAGGGGCCGGGAGGGCCACCCCAGGCAACACCCAGGGAACAAGGGGAACAAGAGGGAAACAAGGGAAAAAGGGCGGGCCAAAAAAAAGGGGAGGGGGGGCCACAAAACGGGGGGAAAACCACCCACAACCCAAACCCACACTTGGGGCAGAGGGGGACGGGGGAAAGGGGGAAAGCCAACCCGGCAAGGGGGGCAGAGGGGGGTTGGGGGGGGGAAGGGGGGGGAGGGGAGCAAACAGGGGGCGGGGGGGGGCACCAGGGAAAACAAAAACGCCACAAAGGGGCCCAAAAATTTGGGGAAAACCCCGGGGCGGGGGGGTTGAAACCGCCAAAACCAAAAGGGGGGGAAGCGGGGAAACAAGGAAAGGAAAACCCGGGGGACCAGAGGGGACCGGAGCAGGGAAAGGAGGGGCCCCGGGGGGAACAAGGGGGCCACCACCACGGGGAAAGGGGGGGAAAAGGGGTTCGGGGGGCCCCCGGGCCAGGGGGGGCCAAAAACGGAGGGGGGGCACACCAAACAAAAGGGCGGGGGGACAAAGGGGGGGAGGCCCCAAAAGAAGACCCCGGCCGGGAGAACCAAAGGCAAACCCCCGGGGCGGGGGGAGGCAACCCCCCCCCCCAACCCCCCCCACCCCAAAGGGGCCCCAAAACCCACAAGGAAAGGGGGAAAACCCAAAAGGCGGGACACACGGAACAACCAAGGAACCTTTGGCCCCACCGGGGAAAAGAACGAAGCAGGCAGAAATTTCAAAGGAAGGGGGCCCGCCGGGGGGCGGGGGGGCAGGGAAAAGGAAGAAGGGCGGGGCCAGGGGCAAAAATTAACAAACCAGCACGGGGGAACGCGGCGGGAATTTGGCAGCAGACCGCATTGCACGTTTTCCAACAGGGGGCACCCAAAATTCGGGAGGGGCCCCCGAACAAGGGCAGACTTACACACAGCAGGGGGCAACAGGGGGCCCCACGGGGGCCCCCAAAAGGGCCCCCAACCAACCACCCCGGGGGCCAACCCGGGGCATCCAGGAACCCCCTTTTGGCAGGGGGCGGCCGCGGCCTTTTTTCCAAAAGCGGGACCACCTCACGCCCCCCCCCCCAAAGGCCCCTTTAACGGCCCCCAAAAAGCCCCCCCGGGAGAAGGGGGGGGGGAACCACCCCAGCCAACAGAAAGGAGGCGGGGGGCCCGGGGGAAAGGGGCCCACGGGGGCCCGGTGGGGACAGGGCTTTCGGGAAGAAAGGGGGAAAACGACACAGCAGGAACAAAAGGGGGGGGCGGGCACGGGAACGCCGGGGCGAAAACAACAGGCCCTGGCTCGACGGGCGGGGCAAAAGCGACCCGGGGGGACCCCCACACAAGAAAAGCACGCCCAACCCACCAAAACCCGGGGGGACCAACGGGACAACACGAGGGAAAAACGGCCGGCCCCAGGGAAAAAAATAGGGCCCAAAAAATAATTCCCAGGTTTTTCATTCACGCTTCCCCCGGGCCGGGGGCAGACAAAACGGCCACCGGCGCCGGTCAGGGCCCGGGCACACCCCGGGGGGAGGTTTCGGTGCCCATTTAAACCCAGAACACACAGCCCAAACCTCCCTTTTCCCCTCAGGGGGCCCTTTTCCCTTTTTTCACCCGGGGGGCCCGGGGGGGGGGCCCCGGGAAAAACAACAAAAACCCCCCCCTTTTTCGGGGAAAAAAAAAAACCAATTTTTTTTTCAACGGGCCCGGGGGGAAAAAGGGGGGGAAAACAAAAGGGGGGGGGGGGAACCAAAACAGGGGGGGAAGGGGACCCCGGGGGGGGGGACTTTACCCGGGGCACATTCCCGGGCAAACCAAAGGGACCAAGGGCAATGGAAAAAACCATGCACACCCCCAAGGGGGGAGAAAAAGGCCTGCGGTTTTAACCCCCAGGCCTCCCCGGCGGTAAAAACAAAACAAAAGGGGGGACCCCAAAAGGACGGAAGCCCCAAGAGGCTAGGGAACAAAAGGGGGAAAAAACCCCCAAGGGCCCACCCCCCGGGGCCCAAAGCGGGGGGCGGGGGGGAGGGCAAGGAAACGGGGGGGGCCAAAGGGGGGACAAACCCAAACCCTTGGAAGGGGTGAAAATTTACCCAACCCCAAAAAAAGGGAAGGGGGCCCCCAATAAAGGGGAAACCCAACAGGGGATAAACCAATTTTCCCAAAAAACGGAACAACAAGGAAAACCAAAAAACCCTTAACCCCGGGGGGGGGCACCTTTGGCCATAACACACTTTAGGGACACACACGGATCTCATCATCACCACACACTTTGGGGTTGGGGTCTTTTACAGCGGGGGGGTCACCTGCATCGGCATCACTTCCCCTTAAGGGGCACCAGGGCACAGGGAATTGTTGCATTTAAAAAATTAAAACATACATAAAAATCATCAGTTAACAAATTTTTCCATTTTCCACACAACAAATCTTTCCGGAATTGGGTTTCCCAGGTAATCCCTACAACAAATTTGGAATCTTTTAACTGGACATCAGTGGGGGAAGGGGGGAAAGGCCCAAGGGGGCCGGGAACCCTAAAATTGGGGAAAAAAACCCCCACTTTAACCGGGCTTTTGGGGGCACCTTGGTTAAAAATTTGGGCGGGCCAAAACATTCAAAAAGACCCCAAAAATTTTGGAAAAGGGGCGAAACAAGACGAGACCCCTTTTTAAAAAACCACGGGGGGGGAAAAGGGGCGGGGAAAGAAGGGGAACCCGGGAAGAAGAGTCCCCGGAATGCCTTTGGGGCCAACTCGCGGCTAGGGTATGACCACTAGGGGCGGGGTTTGTGGGGAAAAAGGTGTTTAGAGGGGTTTCCGGGTTTGGTTAGTATTGGTGGGGGACCCAAAGAAGATTTTTTTTTTGGGTAATGTTTTTCAGGATTTTTCTGCCCAAACCCCTTTTTCAAAAAGGGGGTCTTTTTAAAAATTTCCGATAGAGGGCGGGTATTTTCTGCTAATTTAGGGATGAATTTGCCGTAATAATTTAAAACCCCTTTAATAGGGGGGCCGGGAGTTGTTTGGGGGGTCGGGCCCTTTCAAAAATTTTAAAGAAATTGGGCTGTCACCCCAAAATCTCCCGGGAACCGGGAAGTCCAAAAAAGGGATTTGTGTAAAACAAAACCTGTTTTCGCGGGTTAACAGCTTTTTCCCCCTTTTTGGGAATGTTGCTGAACATTTCTTTCAAGTGTCATGGTTCCGGAAAATTTTTTTTGGTGTAGGCAAATATCACCCAGGTATGCTTTTACATTTTTAATACCTGTTTAATACCTTTCTTATGAGGGGGAAATTTTTGGGGGCCGGGGGTTTTATAAACCCAAAAAATGGAAAACCCGGAACCAAAGGGTTTTAAAACCGAGGGGGGGGGGGGGCGGGAACCCCTTTTGGCCGGGGGGTAAAGGGAAGGGGGCCGGGCCCCACAAAAAACAGGGGGAAAAAAGGGGAAAAACCGGGTTTAGGGCCCTGGGGGAAAAGGGGGCTGTTTCCCAAAGGGGGAAAGAAAGGGGGGGCCGGGAACCCCACAAACCAAACCCACCCAAAAGGCCAGGGGGAGGGGGGACCGACGGGGGGGCCGGGGGGGGAACCCGGGCGCGGGAATTTTTTCGGGGCCCCACGCCGGGAAAGAAGGGAAAGAAAGGGGGGCAGCCCCCCGGAAATGGGGGGGGAAACGGGGGCAAGGGGGAAAAGGGGGGCCCCGGGGGGGGAAAAAAGGGGGGGGGCAAACCCCCCACCCCCAGGGGAAAAGGGGGGGACCAGACCCCGGGGACCACCCAGACGGGGGGGAAACCGCAAAACGTCGGGGAGGGTGACTGCTGTTACCGACAAAGTTGTATGTGTAATCACAGAATGAGGAAAGTGTTTTAGAATAAAGCATGTGTAGAAGCAATAGTTTTAGTAGTAGCAATGCAAGTAATGTAACACTTTTGAGAAATTGACAGCTTTTGATAATCACAAGACTTGTGAATTGAAGTTTTTCCGACTAGGATAACTAGTCACTAAAAGTTGCACTATTTGAATAGCATAGATAGTACAGAATAACTCTAAGTTCTTTGTTTGGAATGTTGTCAAAATAATCTGCAATATAATTAAAAATGAAGTGTAGTATCCCACATCCAACTATGTGTGTAATGTGATGTACCATTCTGCTGTTTTTTGTACATGGTGTTTCTTTTGTGAAATGTCATGACACTTTTTTGTTAACATCTCATATCGATTCCTAGTTTCATGACCCAGCGATTTGCAATATTTTTTACAACAATCACAGAGAATAGGATGTTTCATTTGATACCTATCTACACTGTGTTTTGTTTCTGTGTTTTGAGTGTTTTCAGTTACCGTTGTTTTTGTAATCACACACTTTTCTCTGCCAAGCTTAGTTTCTGTCTTTGTATGCTGTTTATTCTTGCACACTTCGCTTTCATTCATTCCACTTTTCTTCTTTCTGTGTTGGGCTTTGTTACGACTGCTACTCTTCTTGCTTCTTTCTTCCATACTTTCTGATCCATTCTTTGGCCTTTTTCTTCTGTTTGTATTTTCATTTTTCCTTTCACTCTCCAAGCTTTCTCTGACACATTCTTCTTTGGGATATGGAGTATTAACTTTTGTATCTTCGCTCTCACTTGGGTTGACACTCTCACTGGGATTTGGAGGGTTGTCTTTCGTAACCTTACTCTCACTCACATTACAGCATTCTTTGGGATATGGGGAGTTGTCTTCCATACTTTCATTCTGACAATACTTTGGAATATTCTTTTGTTCCCAAGCTACAATGTCCCTGTCGGTTACTGTTCTTAAATCTTCCCTGTTTCCCAAAATCAAATCAGCACAAGGGGATGGTAATACTGCAACAGTTATGAACTTTTCTAAGTATGGTGATTTAACAAACACGTTAGCAAGTCGATATCTTTCGATGCTACCACCAAAGGTACGACAATTGATGTATTTGTCTGTTAAATCTTCTGGTCTAATCAGTCTTTGATGCACTCCGGAAATAGATGTACCAGTGTCCCTAAGGAGTGATATGGTTTGCCCATGGATCTGACCTTTTTGAAATTTCAGAGTACCGTGGCCGTGTGTTGCCAGATTAGCGTTCTGAATGGGTATCAGGTGTCCACACGGTAGGTTGCCTTCCTTATGGAATTTAGAACATATTTTACATTCTTCTTCTGTTTCGTACATGGTAGCTGAATTGGCTTCAGCTGAATCGCTTTCTGACTCATCATCTGATGTTACACATACTACATGTGCCTCCTTGAATCGTTTTATAGCAGGACAGTTACGTCTGGTGTGCAAATAACATCCACAAATATAACATTTTTACTGCATTTTCATACCTCTTTAACTTGTTTTTTTCTATGAGCAATCACCTGTTCGATTCTTTCATTAAATAGTGGGCTTTTATCACAAGGTGCGTCGTCACCATGTCTATCGTGACAGTGGTTGCAATTGATGGTCTTTACCTCTTTCTTGCCATATCTAAAGTTTTTGTTCTGAAATTTCTGTTGGTATGGTTTTGCATAGGCTGCTGCTCCCACTTCTATCAAATCAGAACTTGATAGCACGAAGATATCAGGGTGTGCTGCAAAATAATTTTCACCTACTTCTTCTAAAGAATCTAAATTTGTTGGCTTATTTTCCTTTAGGAAAGTTGCCATTGGCTGTGGAAGAGATTCTAACATTTTACATCTTAACAACAAATCAACCAATAACTTATAGTCATTTTTTACATTGGCTGCTTCAACCCATTTTTGGAATATGTTCTGCACTTCTGACAGATAGTCTGCAAATGTTTGACTACTTTTTGGTCTCAAATCGTTGAACTGTTTTCGGTAGCCAGCTTCGTGCAGGTTGTAATGCTTCATTAATCTTTCTTTGATATAGTTGTAATCTAGTCTTTTGGTTTCCGGAATTGTTTCCAGAATCTTTAGAGGTTCAAATGCCAGGTGTTTTTGAAAGATTAAAGCGTAGTCTTGCAATGGGACGTTATGCATGTGCATACCTAGTTCGAAATTGGCTATATACGCTCCGATATCGTCTTCCTTGCAGTAATTTCGGACTATTCCTGCATATTTTTTGAATTTGTTTTCTTCTGCTTTGATTCTCTCTTTTTCTATGGCTGCTTCTCTTTTTGACTCATTTTCCATTTCCTTTGTTCTGATCTGAGTTTCTGCTTTTTCTTTGTCCGCTTGTATTTGTGCCTCTAACCTCTGTTTTTCCAGCTGTAATTTTTTCTCTTCAATCTCTTTTTGTTGTAGTAGTTCCATATGTTTCAATTCAGCCTCTTTCTCTTTTAGATGTAGTTCATGTTCACGCACAAGTCTGCGTTCTTCTCGTTCTTCTGCTGCTTTTCTTAATTGTTCTTCTTTTTCTTCTGCTGTTCTTCTTTTTTGTTCTTCTTTTTCTTCTGCTGCTCTTCTTTTTTGTTCTTCTTTTTCTTCTGCTGCTCTTCTTTTTTGTTCTTTTTTTTCTTCTGCTGCCCTTCTCCTTTCCTCTTCTACCTTCTCTTTATGTTTTTCATCCACATACTTCCTTAACTCGTCGCCCTGAAGGCCCAATTCTTTACCAATGGCTACCCATTCCGCCATTTTTGACTTGTAGATGTATACGATATTCCTGTACAAATATAACAATTACAAATGCGTTCACAAATATTACGCTTAATAGCAATGCAATCACAACCAACAAAATCAATATGTGATATATAATCACTATGTTTAGCTGAGTAGTTTTCTACCTACTCAGAACAATAATATCAACTATGAACTTAATTACTCAACTTTTTAAAAAAAAATTACTATGGCTCCTATCGAGCTAAGACACAGTCTATTCTACGGATCCTTCTTTTCGCTATAGCACACTTCTCGGCTGTAACGGAAATATATTGAATGAGTCTCTTGTAGATCGTGTCGTGCAATTGAATCTTCCGGTTGGTAATGTCACTTCATTAATTGGCCACTACCCGTCTGAATTCATATTGCGGTTCATCATGGAAGTAGTGTACTTTTTTTGAAAAATAGCGGCACTCGTCTATAAGTTGAACATGGGTGTCAATCTGAATAATTCATGGAAACTGACTGTCTGTTCTAAAGACTTGAAGGAACTCACAGAAAACTGTTCTGCACGTGTACTTGTTCTACCTGTGCTACGGATGTTCGTTTAGCGGTGTTCCGCTAGCTGCATGTTAGATCGGATATGTGGATATAAGTTTGCTGTCCGCTTGACCAATGTCACTCAGCTAGATGCCTTGTCTTAACACACTTACGTTATGTTAGCATGTTTAGTGATCACTGTACTTGGTGGCTGTTGCCCTTTGCAACTACTGTTTCAAACACTGGACTGATTGATGACTACTTTGATGTTGTAATACACAGTATAGTTGTTACGATCACACTGTAACAATACGCAGTATAATTGTTACGATCACACTGTAACAATGTGTAGTATAGCTGTTACGATCACACTGTAACAATACGCAGTATAGTTGTTATGATAACACTGTAATAATACGCGGCATAGTTGTTATGATGACACTGTAACGATACGTGGTATAGTTGTTATGATGATACTGTAACGATACGTGGTATAGTTGTTATGATGATACTGTAACGATAACTAATTTCGACATGTTACCCAGTGGCGAATTTGGCCATCCTTACACAGGAAAACTGTACTTGAAATTTCTACACATTTTCTTGAGGTAAATTTCGACACAGCAACTGGTGTTACCACGGATGATGGCTGTATAGCGGCCTTGACCCAGTCCCCCACTTACGTCAACTCTGCAGCCCCGCTTTGAGCTTTGAAGTTTAACTGGTTCAACTGGCCGGGTTTTTGGTCACTACACTGACCATGTTTGTCGTTGCTTGTTCTGAACAAATAAATTTTGACTAACAACTGCTGTTACCTCAGACGATTACTGGAAATCGACCTTGACACAGAACGCCACTTACATTGACTGTTCAGCTCCGTTATTAGCTGTCGAGTCAATTGGTCCAATCCGCTGTGTTTTCAGTGATGTTCCGGTTAACTTCTGTCGTTGTTTTTTGTCCCGGATGTGTCCGTTTTCGAGCCCCCACTTGTAATGTGCTCATCTAGGGGCATGTGTTGTTTACATTGCTTTCAGACGAACAGTGAGTTGAAACGACACAGCATGAACGAATATTGAGTTCTTTGCTTTTATTCGTTGAATCGCCAGTTATCGCAAACATACATTCATGCTTCCTCGTGCTCGACTTGCTTGGCTGAATCTAGCGACCTGGTCGGACTTCCCACACACTCAGGAATTTATCAGCGTCTCTCGAACCATCCATCTATACTTCATGGACTCTGATATCTGACATTACGACGTATGGAAAAACATTCAGTCCTCCTATTGAAATATAACGTTCACTTCACAAATCATTTATTCTTCTCAGGCGTTCATTCACGCGTCCTCTCTCAGTCAGGGCAGAACTTCAACTGTCTTACTTCAGTCTCTCGGTTCACGTCTTCCGTTCACGTCTCATGCTTTTCTTGTGTCTCTCACTTCGTTTACCATGAGACACACGAGACTCACTTCTCCCGTTTTTCTCTTCTCTCACGGGTCCTCTGACCTTTTTCTCCCCATCGGGGACTCTCTGGGGTTTCCCCGGGAATTCACAACATTACATTTGGTCCATGGTATTCTTAGAATGTTTTTATAGCATTTCAGTTCAAAAGGGGGCTGGGTAGTCTTGAGGCATGGCTAGGATTTTTTCACTTGGACTTCTAGTAATTCCCTCGGTCTGTGGGTAGTGAGATGGGATGCCCGTGTGCATTGTTGCGCACGTAAAAAATCCCTTGGCTGTTGGAAATTGAAAAGAGTAGCCTAACGCCACTGCCAAGGCAAACATTTGGAGTTAAAATCTACCCAAAGTATTTCAGGATCCTCGCCGGTGCTACAGAGCCTGTGCACTGTGCTGAGCTTTTTTGGACTCAGACTTGAGTTAGAAGAAGAACGGAGCACTTATGGGTTACTGCCCATGTGCCATGATGTTGATCCGTTGTTCAAAAACCTCTAAAACCTCAAAAAAACCTTCAGTTCAAAAGCTTAAAATATGATTTTTTTTTCTGCAGTGATTGAGAAACAGTCCATGACTCACATACATAAGCTGCAGAATGACAGACTACTGAACATAAAATAGCCTGTTAGATCTACAGACAGATAACAAATGCTGGAGATTGTGACCTTTTTCAATCATATTTAAATGGAATGATCTAGAGTTTCTGAAATGCAGATCATTTATAATTTCAGGAAGATTCTGATATCACACAGCTGGATGCAAATCTTGTGATGCAGCTGTTTTCTCCATTGGTTTTGTCTCAGTTGCTCTTAATAGACCAGACTAAAGAGCCATGTTCAACAGTTCAGTGCTTAAGTGGCTTTATCTTTGCTTTCAGACATGTAAGTAATTAGTGGTATAGAAATTAGGAGTAACTCATTAAGGTGGAATTGTCCTGGAAAATAAAAGAGGATATAAATAATGTTGACCACATCACTTATTGAGGGCCACTTGAACTAAAGAAACATGGATCCAGCCCTATATGCCTAGTGCACCAGTGATGTAAACTGGGTCCATTACTTATTTTTTTTTTTAAACCTTCGAGTGGAATAAAAAAAATAAAAAACAACATAATGGAAATCTTAAGCTTTCAAGTTACTTTTAAATATCTGCTGTAAAAAATTATTCATGAAGAAGGCCTGATGATGTGAAAAGAGGTGCATTATTTTTATATATAAAAAAAATGGAGCAAAGAACGTGCAATTTAAATAATTGTCAGCTTTCTGCGTATTTGTGGAACTTCTTTTATTTTGTTTTCACTCAATCAAGTGCCATTTCCACAGTAAAGTTTGGCTGAAAGGGTCTTCACACTCTCTGTTTCTCTGTGACTGCTGTTATCCATCTTTTGATTTTACTTTGTTTTGTGAACATTTATAATTTATTTTCATGTTTTTGATAAAGCATTGTTTAATTTTTGCTCTTCTCTCCCATGTCATGTTGAAATTCATGCTTGTTTTTGATAAATTAATGTCTTGTTGACTGCATTGAGTCCACTCACACACACACACACTAGACTATATGTTCTTCTGCTTTTCTATCCCCCCAATGGAACATAGGCCCTCAACCAACTCACGCCAAGTCGTTCTATCTTTCGCCATTACATGGAGCTCTCCCCATGTCCTCCCTATCTTTCTAACTTTATTCTCCAGCTCTCTTCTCCATGTGTTTTTTGGTCTTCCTTTATCCCTATGCCCCTGTGGGTTCCAATACAGAGGCATTCTAGTTATGCTGTTCTCCGGTTTTCTCAATGTGTGTCCTATCCAGCATCTTTTCCTCACCTCTTGGTCTACTGGAGCTTTCTTAGTTCTCTCCCAAATCTCTACATTAGTTATTCTATCATACCATTTAATTCCCTCTATTCTGCACAGGCACCAGTTAATGAATGTCTGCAATTTATTAGTAGATGCCTTAGTTGTTCTCCATGTTTCAGACTATATGTTATTTCATAACAATTACGTGGTGCCCTAATATAACTGTGCTATAAGCGAGTGTGGTTGAATGTGGTTTTTAAAATTTGTAGTTGTATGATTCTAATCCTTTTTTTGTCAGTCATGCAGAAGGTAAACCTGGAAGGGAAAAACTTGAAAAAAAAAAAAACAGTCATGAACAAATCTATAGCAGATGAAAGAAGAATAAGTCAGCCAGTCAAGCTAAAAATAAGGCCAATCTCCTAGACAAAACATGGTGTGATGCTGAGAAAAGCTAAGTAGAAGTCTTGATCACTGACTTGCCTACTTTTGTCAAAGGAAATCTCCAGTAGAGGCACTTGGAATGTTAGAACTATGTATGAGTTAAAAAAGCCAGGAGCACATGTTGCTGGAAAAATAAAATAAAATAAAACTTCAACTTTTTGGTAGCAATATATCTATCTTGCTATTCCCCTTAGTGTTGGTTGTCGGCCAGATCCCCAAATCACTCCCCACTCCATTCTCTTTACACCCTAATTATCTGTTTGTGCCTCTGCACTGTGCTGTCACTCCCAGAGGGCTTTGATAACATCTCATTGCTACCTATATATTTGTATGATTCCACATATTAATAATTCATTAATTGTAACCTGTTCAATTACCAAATGAAGACAGATGATCTGCTCTACATTGCTGTGAATGGGGATGGAACAGAATCTGAAAAATTCCTTCATAGAAAGATTCAAGTTTTTATGACTGTCCTGAGGTTCATGTTTGGTCCTGCAGGTGAAGAGTAAGTAGTTTATTAAGAGTAATAATGTTATAAATGTAACAGACTTGCAGAGCCTGCTTCAGAAAATAGAAACTTGGGAGTTACATGGAGTTTGACTTGCATTGCTTGAAAAGACTTAGATCAGGAGTAATTTATCAGTTTTATCAGTCTTTGTGTGTGTGTGGTTCAGGATGTGTGGGGCAGTGAGTGCACTGACAGACTGGCTGCTGCCATTCCTATGGGTGATAAGCTACTTTATGATAAGGTGATATAGTTAAGAAAATTTGGATAATGTGACAGAACATAAAGAATATCCATTACTGATGAGACTTGATTCAGCGAGAAGTGAGTAGAGAGCCCAGACAGTTCTAAAATATACAGAAAAGAAGATAGATGTACTTTTAATCAGGCTGCTACCAGTGTGGGTTTCGATGCCTATGTGAAAATAAAAAGTAATAGATCCCCTATCATCATGTCATAAAATGGGACTAATTAGGGGTTTGCTGAAGTTGGATGTGTTTTGCTGAAATGTGCAGATATCACAGCATAGCTGTAAACCACAAAACAACATGCTAGCTGCCTTCTTAAGGGTGAGTTGAGAAGAAGAATAAGGTTGCCACCAGCATCCTTAGCGTGATGAGTGATGCTGTTTATAGGTCACACACTCAGCAAAAACATTATTAAAATGTTATTTGCGTAATTTATTGTGTTGTCTGACAATTCATCAACTGTATGAATTAGAGCTAAGAAAAAATAATTAATCTTAGCCTCTAACACTATCATCATCATCAAGTGCCTTGCCAGCTGGCATAGGCATTCATGCATCTCTATAGACCTTGGTCTTTGGTGTTCTGGATCAATTCCACTCATAATATTCCTCCATGTCACTGTCTTAGACCATCCACCATAATTTCTCTTGGTCTACCTCTGCCTCTTCTACCTATGTGTCTGTCTGTCTGTGCATGTCTATGTGTGTTTCTCTGTGTGTTGTTGTGTGTGCCCCTTTGTTGTCTGTATGTGTCTGCATGTCAGAGTATATGTCTGTGCGTGCTGAATATATGTGTCTGCGTGTGCATTTCTATGTGTTTGTATGTATATGCATTTCTGCGTGTTTGTCTCTGTGGGTGTCAGTATGTGTTTGTCTGCCTGTTTGTCTGTATTTGTGTGTGTGTGTGTTTGACTGCGTGTGTGTCTATGTGGCTGTATGTATGAGTCTGCATGTTTGTCTGCGTATGTGTGGTGTGTGTGTCAGTGTGTGAGCACGAATGTAAATATGTGTGCTGTGTGTTTCCCTGTGTGTGCTTATATGTAAGTGTCTGTGTGTGTGTCTGTATTTTTGTCTGAGTGTTTGTGTCTCTGTGGGAGTGTCCATGTGTGCATGTGTGTGTCTCCATGCATGACTGGATTTATGACTGTATGTGTGTATGCCTGTATTACGTATGTATGTATGAATGTATATATGTCTGCCTGTATGTTTGTATCTATGTATGTATGTTTGTGTGTATGTATGCCTGTGTGTATGTGTGTATGCATGTTTGTTTATATGTATCTGTGTATGTATGTAATGTATGCATGCAGGTTTGTGTGTGTAAGTGAGTGGGTGAGCGTGTGTATGCAGGTGTATGTATGCATGCCCGGGTTTTTGCATGCACTTTACAACTCATGCTTTTGTGTTCTTTTATAATATTCATAATATGCATAACATCATATGATCATAACATGCTTTATTAGTAAAATACAACTGCTGTGCGAAAGATGGTTGACTGGAAGGGCCGAATGTAAGACGGGCCTGCGTGCCCAATTTGTGACCCTTTGAAAATAAAGTTTGTTCGTTCGTTCGTTCTTTCGATCTTTCCAGTCGTCAAGATATGTTCCAGTGCTCCTTTTCTCATCCTATCACATGACCAAAGAACTTTGTTTGTCTCCTTCTCATTGTTGTATACAATGCTCATTGTTGTATTTAATGTTCTGCTTTCATTAGCCCTTTCCAGGCAATTATTGTTAGTTATTCTGCAGTCCAAGGTATTTGCAAAATTCTTCTCAAGAACCACATCTCAGTTGCCTCCAAACTCTTCTTAATTTGTTTGCTCACATTCCAAGGTTCACTAACATACACCAGAACAGGCTGGATATAACACTATATTGAATGTTTATAAAGTGTGAAGATAATCAAATCTGTATAAATCTGTCTTTCCAATTAAAATAGATGTCTCTGTAGATTTAAATGGACTATCATCTTTTCAAAGTCCCTGTGTGGGTTCCAGGGCCCTGTAATGGGAAAGATAAGAATAGACCCACTGCCTCCCTGACAAGTATGTAATAGGAGTCGGCTAAGTGGGGGCATCAAATTCAGAGTGTATCTGCCTGAGAAGCAAGGAACAAAGAGTCTGCATACAAATAAGCAAGATCTGTAAAAACTGATGTGCAAGCAACACTCAGGTTCTGAAAGAAGACTAAAGTCCAGGAGGTGGACGAATGACGAGAACTTTTCGCCTGAGTTTACAGCGTGTGAACATGAAGAAGAGGAAGATATTTTTTAAAGAGTCAAGATTGTATCAGAACTGAAAAACAGTCAGAAGATTTCAAATGTGTTTTTTTTTTAAAGAATGTGGTAGTCTTATAACAGACAGCTGAATACTATGTGTCATAATATTTGATACTTCTTGTTCATTCGTTGAACAGGATGACAATATCAAATTCTTCCAACAAGAAAGAGAAGTGGACATTTCTTCGTCAGTTTATGCAGAGCTGGTCAGAGTTGGTACATTCAGAGCAAGCTTTTCTTGTTGAGGTAGGCTTGTGGAAACCTGAACTGGTCATTGACTCATTCATGTTTTGATTTATATTGGTGTTTTGTATTCTTACCTCCTCTGTTTTTCATGCGAAAAAGGTATGTCTGATGTTTCTTTCATTTTCAACTCTTTTGGATTATAAGGTTTTGTCTCAGGCTATATGTCTGTCTGTTTAGCTCTCTCTCTCTCTCTCTTTCTCTCTCTCTCTCTCTCTCTCTCTCTCTCTTTCTCTCTCTCTCTCTCTCTCTCACTCTCTTTATAGATTAAAAATAAAAAGATTTTAAAAACCTTGTAATTAAAAGAAATGTCGAGAGCAGCAGTGCCAGAATGGCAAAATACTTGCCTGCTATCCTAAAGGTCTTAGTTTTGAATCTGCATTCAGTTGAAATTGTTTGTAACTGACCTAGGGCTCCCAGGTCAACTTTGTCTAAAATGGGTACAAGGAAATGGCTTGGGAAATAGAAACATCTGACCCATTGAGTTATTGACTCATTTAGTGCCGACTGGTGTATTAAAAATATAGGTCTATCATGAAATGCCAGATTTTCCCCGTGGGTTCTGAGGCTCCATTTTAGAGAACAAAGAATAGACGTACTGCTCCTTTGTGGGTTCCAGGGCCCAGTTGTGGGGAAAATCAGAATAGACCCACTGCCTTCCCAACAAACATGTTAAAAGAGTTGACTAATTGGGTGCTTCTTTCCAAGTCAGAGTGCATCTGCTTGAGAGATAATGAACCAACAATCTGCATACAGTTGACTCAGATCTGTTGAATGGATGTGCATGCAACAGATGCTGGAACAAGACTAAAGTCTAGATTTGGACAACAACCAGAACTTTCCACTGGAGTTTACAGCTGGTGAACACAAAGAAGAAGAAGAAGACCCACCACTGCCTTTACAAGCATGTCATAGGAGTTGACTAGATAGGGGTCTTTCCTTCAGAACCAGAGTGCATCTGCCTGTGTGTGGTAAGGAACCAACAGTCTGTATATAAAATGAGCCAGAATCGGCAAAACAGATGTGCATTCAAAACTCATGTTGTGGATCAAGACCAAAGTCCAGGAGTGGACGAACAACCAGAATTTTCCACTGGTGTTTACAGCCAATGAACGCTAAGAAGAAGAAAAAATGCCCAATTTGTCAGTCATTTGGAAAGGTCCTTCTTTTATATTTAAAAATTACCATTGAACCTCAGATGAAAATGTTAAAACACTACAAACATTACAAGCAGAGTCATCCATTTATGTTGTTTCCTTGTACAATTTTTTTTTTTTTAATTGTTGATTTTGTATATTCTAGTTTGTAATTTTTAGTATTGTAGAATTATTTATGTGCCCATGAAGACTGTCTGTGGAAAGATCTGTGAAAAGAGAGACATAGGAAGACAGCACGAGAAGATTCATAGCATGGAAGGTGTCAGAACACGAACTGATACATACATGCAGTTGTGGATTGTGGAGAAACATGATCACCCAGTTGGCAATGCACTTGATGATGGTGATGATGATGATGAGGAGGAAGATGATAATGAAGATGATGATGAGGATGATGATGATGAGGAGGAGGAAAATTATAATGAGGATGATGATGATGATGATGATGATGATGATGATGATGAAGGCTCTCTTGCTACATCCATTTTTCGTTGGATATTATGAAGCTTACTGACTGGTTCTACTTGTCTTTTGCTTTGGTATCTTTCCTTGATACATTTATGTTGAATCCCATGGACTATTCTCCAGGCCATTGAGAGGGTGCATGTGAACCAGATGGTGAATGAGAAATGCATGGATGTTCTACTGAAGTCAGTCAAGCAGTTCCAGTTTACTAGAGAGCAGCCAGTCCATCATGCCTTGCTTCTTGTGAATAGTAAACTCTTGGCTTTATATTCAAAGTAAGATGTCAAATCACTACTGCTGTATGGAGCTGAAACTTGGAGAGAAACTAAAATGGTTACTAATAAAAACTACAAACATTCAGTAACTGGCACATGCACACAATAAAGGAATTAAATAATACAATAAAGTAACTGCTGGGGGGGGGGGGGGGGGGGGGGGGGGGGGGGGGGGGGGGGTGGGGGGTTGGGGGGGGGGGGGGGGGGGGGGGTGGGGGGGGGGGGGGGGGGGCTGGGGGGGGGGGGGGGGGGGGGAGGGGGGGGGGGGGGGGGGGGGGGGGGGAGTGTGTGTGCGTACTTTGGGAAACAACTAAACACATTTGATTGAATCAATAGGTGAAGAAAAGATGCTAGCTTTGAATAAGACATACATTGTGAAAACCTGGGAACAATATAACTAGAATGCCTTTACACTGGAACTCACAAAGGCATAGAAATAAAGGCAGACCCGACACACACAAAAACACGGAGAAAGGAGCTAGAAAGTAAAATTACAAATATTGCCAGTACAGAGGTTGAGAACGGTTTAAACACTAGGCTCTCAAACAAGAGCCCTCAGTTCTTCTTCTTCTTCTTCTTCTTCTTCTTCTTCTTCTTCTTCTTCTTCTTCTTCTTCTTCTTCTTCTTCTTCTTCTTCTTCTTCTTCTTCTTCCTTCTCTCTTCTTCTTCTTCTTCTTCTTCTTCTTCTTCTTTCTTCTTCTTCTTCTTCTTCTTCTTTTCTTCTTCTTCTTCTTCTTCTTCTTCTTCTTCCTTCTTCTTCTTCTTCTTTCTTCTTCTTCTTCTTCTTCTTCTTCTCTTCTTCTTCTTCTTCTGCTTCTTCTCTTCTTCTTCTTCTTCTTCTTCTTCTTCTTCTTTCTTCTTCTTCTTCTTCTTCTTCTTCTTCTTCTTCTTCTTCTTCTTCTTCTTCTTCTTCTTCTTCTTCTTCTTCTTCTTCTTCTTCTTCTTCTTCTTCTTCTTCTTCTTCTTCTTCTTCTTCTTCTTCTTCTTCTTCTTCTTCTTCTCTTCTTCTCTTCTTCTTCTTCTTCTTCTTCTTCTTCTTCCTTCTTCTTCTTCTTCTTCTTCTTCTTCCTTCCTTCTTCTTCTTCTTCGTCTTCCTTCTTCTTCTTCTTCGTCTTCCTTCTTCTTCTTCGTCTTCCTTCTTCTTCTTCTTCTTCTTCTTCTTCTTCTTCTTCTTCTTCTTCTTCTTCTTCTTCTTCTCTTCTTCTTCTTCTCTTCTTCTCTCTTCTTCTTCTTCTTCTTCTTTCTTCTTCTTCTTCTTCTTCTTCTTCTTCTTCTTCTTCTTCTTCTTCTTCTTCTTCTTCTTCTTCTTCTTCTTCTTCTTCTTCTTCTTCTTCTTCTTCTTCTTCTTCTTCTTCTTCTTCTTCTTCTTCTTCTTCTTCTTCTTCTTCTTCTCTTCTTCTTCTTCTTCTTCTTCTTCTTCTTCTTCTTCTTCTTCTTCTTCTTCTTCCTTCTTCTTTCTTCTTCTTCTTCTTCGTTCTTCTTCTTCTTCTTCTTCTTCTCTTCTTCTTCTTCTTCTTCTTTCTTCTTTCTTCTTCTTCTTTTCTTCTTCTTCTTCTTCTTCTTCTTCTTCTTCTTCTTCTTCTTTCCTTCTTTTCTTCTTCTTCTTCTTCGTTCTTCTTCTTCTTCTCTTCTTCTCTTCTTCTTCTTCTTCTTCTTCTTCTTCTTCTTCTTCTTCTTCTTCTTCTTCTTCTTCTTCCTCTTCTTCTTCTTCTTCTTCTTCCTCTTCTCTTCTTCTTCTTCTTCTTCTTCCTTCTTCTTCTTCTTCTCTTCTTCTTCGTCTTCTTCTTCTTCTTCTTCTTCTTCTTCTTCTTCTTCTTCTTCTTCTTCTTTCTTCTTCTTCTTCCCTTCTCTTCTTCTTCTTCTTCTTCTTTCTTCTTCTTCTTTCTTCTTCTTCTTCTTCTTGCTTCCGTCTTCTTCTTCTTCTTCTTCTTTCTTCTTCTCTTCTTCTTCTTCTTCTTCTTCTTCTTCTTCTTCTTCTCTTCTTCTTCTTCTTCTTTCTTCTTCTTCTTCTTCTTCTTCTTCTTCTTCTTCTTCTTCTTCTTCTTCTTCGTTCTTCTTCTTCTTCTTCTTCTTCTTCTTCTTCTTCTTCTTCTTCTTCTTCTTCTTCTCTTCTTCTTCTTCTTCTCTTCTTCCTTCTTCTTCTTAGTCTTCTTCTTCTTCTTCTTCTTCTTCTTCTTCTTCTTCTTCTTCGTTCTTTCTTCTTCTTCTTCTTCTCTTCTTCTTCTTCTTTTCTTCTTCTTCTTCTTCTTCTTCTTCTTCTTCTTCTTCTTCCTTCTTCTTCTTCTTCTCTTCTTCTTCTTCTTCTTCTTCTTCTTTCTTCTTCTTCTTCTTCTTCTTCTTCTTCTTCTTCTTCTTCTTCTTCTTCTTCTTCTTCCTTCTTTCTTCTGTCTTCTTCTTCTTCTTCCTTCTTCTTCTTCTTCTTCTTCTTCTTCTTCTTCTTCTTCTTTCTTCTTCTCTTCTTCTTCTTCTTCTTCTTCTTCTTCTTCTTCTTCTTCCTCTTCTTCTCTCTTTTCCTCTTCTTCCTCTTCTTCCTCTTATCTTCTTCTTCCTCTTCTTCCTCCTCCTCCTCCTCCTCCTCCTCCTCCTCCTCCTCCTCTCCTTCCTCCTCCTCCTCTTCACAAGGTACATCCTTGATTCCATATTGAAAGTGCAAAAATTGTATCTTTGCTTCTTATACTGTCAAAAACTATCACTGCTGTCTGTTTTACCACCTTTTTTTTTTTGGCCTCATGAGCCTGAGGATTTAGGGCCGCACGGCTAGTGCTGTCGCCACAGACTGTGCATGTTAGGATGTTTAATTCTGCCCCTGACCAAAAAAAAAAACTTCACTTTACTGAGGGGGAAAAGGGGGGGGGGGGGGGGGGTCGAATCCGAGCCTTCTGCATGGGATCCCAATGTTGTAACCACTCGGCCAGCCGCTCCTCTTCTTGTACATTGTCATTAAAGTGCTTGTTTATAGCTTAATATAATTATGTGTCATCTCCACAGTGAAGATTGACCACACTGAATCCAGTGTTGTCTTTAGGGATATAAAATGTTGAGGCCCCAATCTCTTCCACGGTGAGGCCCCGATTTCTTCCATGGTGAGGCCCCGATCTCTTCCAGGGTGCGACTCTTCTCTTGGAACGTCGTCTACAAACCACAAAAACAGTTATAGCTATTGCATCATTTAAAAAAAAAAAACCAAAAAACTCATCATTATCCAGACATTTTGCATTAAAAATTACAATTTGTATGTATTTTTTAAAACTAATCCCCAGCCGTAGTGCCCATGAGCTTCAGCCTAAGGATATACTGATGGCCATGATTTTGTCAAAAACTCTCTACCCTCAAGAAGATAAACTGGAAGATCTGTTTTCAAAATTTTACATTACTGATAAGTCTCAGCTGGAGGCTGCAAGTGCAGCAGATGACATCAGTGATGCTGGAGATGATGAGGTGGGTATTAGATATCCTTATGGAGCATTGGCCATCAACCAGCTCATCTACCGTTTCAGGTCGTCTTATCTTTTGTCATTACATAAAACTCACCCCAAGTTTTCTTCATCTTATTCACTCTTATTCTCTTCTTCTTGTGTCATTTTAGTTTTCCTTTGTTTCATTTGCCCTGTTGCCCTGTGAATTCCATTGTTAGGACATTCTAGTTATATTATTGTCAGGTTTATTCATTGTCTTGTTCAGTATATTTTTAACCTAAATGTTGAATGTTGAATTGAAAATCAACATCACAGCACTCAGGATCCCCCATAAGCACTCCGTCCCCATCTTCAGTTAATATTCTGATGGTACCAGCAACTGTCTGATTGTATATCCATCTCACCTTTCCCCTGAGTGTTGAGCGTGGGCCAGATCCACTTGTAACTCCTCGCAGCTCCATTCTCCTCAATCTGTAATGATCTGTTTGTGCCTCTGTATTGTTCAATTGTTCCCAGAGAGCTCTCACAATATCCAGCTTGTTAACCTAATGACTTTGTTTTTTGTTAATCTAAAATCACATATTTTTCTGTCAATAATCTGAAACAGTTATGTCCCGTTCTCACAATAAGGGCAAAATCATAACAAAAGAGATACAATGTCTTGAAAGAGCGGCCAGGATAACTAGAAAAAATAATATTTACAATGAAATTAGAGGAAGGCTAGGCTGAAACCAGTCATTCATTTAAAGAAAGAACAACAAGTGAGATGGTTTGGCCATCTGACAAGAATGCCTTTGGTACTAACTACCGTAGATGTTGTTGTTGTTGTTCAACCTCACCAGGACTGTACAATGAGCAACCAACACCTGGTGATACGAAGTGCCACCATTAGATGAGGATCACAAGTCCCAGAAATCCCATTCAACCCATAGGTTGGGTTATATTAGGGCCCTTGACAACTGCCAGAATGGGGGTTTGAAATAATGAAAAATTGCGTCCCATTCTGGGACATCATATAAAATTGACTACCATAGAGAGCCCGATGAAGAAATATAATGAACACATACCAGGGATAGATCAGAAAAAAAGATAGAACAGTGTCATCAAGAACAGCTTTACAGAAGTTAAAATCAGCTTAGACATTGCATTAGAAAAAGCACAAAGAAAATTCTTACATTCCCCCCAACCCTTTAATGCAGGAAGAGAAGAAACAGTACCTGATTCATTTCTTGTTACATAATATGATTTTCACCAGACTTTAGATTTTAGTGCAGTTAGTGTAAGATATTTTTAAGTTTATTTTAACTGCAAATTACATTTATTTTCAGTACCACAGTGCTCCAAATACACCGAGAAGTCATAGATCAAAGTCACCAACCACCTCACATAAATCAGAAACTGTCGAAGGTTTGACTTTATCTGACGAAGATTCTCAAGTTGAAAAATCTGGAGACCATCTGACATTGTTGGACATGTTCATGAAAAAATGCCCAGATGTTGTGTTGCAATCTGCTACAGTTGAGAAAGTTACAGAAAAAGAACAGTTGAGTCAGGTAATAAATAAAAATTCTCATGCAGTCAGTGTTGAAGCCATTGTTCATCAAGCTCCTGATTTGAGCGGTAGACAAGTGCTACATGAAGCATCAGATGGCCACAGCTCTGATGAAGGACCTGTTTCTACCAGTCAAGAGAATGTAAAGGCATTTGATTTCAATGATAGCATGATAAAAGGAAAACCTGAAATTACTGATGATGAACGCAAGCAGAGGAATGTCTCAAGTTCAGTCTCGGTTAAAAAAGACAGTGAGGATCAAGTGAGCACTTTGGCTACTGGGGATAATGAAAATTTGGGGTCTGATTTATCAGGTAGTTTACCACCAGCTGTTGAGCTTGAAAGCTCACTCAAGCACCAAGACAACACAGATGTACCAGTCACCCCTAGTGCTGCAGTCTCTGATGCCCAGTTATCATCTGCAGATCAACAGTGTAATGTTGCTTTGAAATCAACAGGTGATTATAACAGTACCTTCTTTGGCCATCTTTTAATGATTTTTCTTTTTTTTATATAAAGCTTATATCAGATGAATTTTCTCAACATTTTATGTGCTGGCCCTTCAGGAGTTGAGCTGAGCTATGAACTGTTGACATCACAGCTCTCAGGACATTCCCATATGCACTCCAATTATTCCTTTAAATGTTTGTTAGACATTTCTTTGCCCAAAATGCAATGGGGAAATAGTGTTAACAATGCTCTATAGAACTTAACTGTTGTATTGGTAACCTGACACCCACACTGTTAATTGTTCCAGTGGCTTCAAGAGGAGTAGCACATTGGGGATAATTCTTGCCTTATCCTAGAAGAAGGAAGTGCAGTCTGAAAACCTAATGTTGCAGCAGTCTTTTAAGCTTGGTTGGCAGCTGGTTTACGTAGACAGAGCTCTCCTGTTATGATCTGATAGCTGGTACAGCATTATTTTACCAGTTATGTTGTTGTTGTCTTTCCTGGAAGAGGGACCATGCTGCATGGGCAGCACATGGCACTGTCCTATAGAGCAGCAATTTAAGCCCTGGCCTTAATTAGTATCACCTTGAGCTGTTATTTCCACAACTGTTCATAGCACTATTTCAGTAAAGGTGCCAACAACTGTTGTAAGCATGTGAAACACTGACAGTAAGCAGACAAGCTCCCCATTTAGTTCCGAGGCCCAATTTTGAGCAGGAGGGAAGAATAGACCCACTGCCCCACCCCCCCCCCACCCCCCGGCCTTAAAAGGCAAACAGGAGTTTTTCCCTTAGAATTCAGAGTGCATCTGTAATTAGGAGTTTTTCATTTAAAATCTAAGTGCATCTGCCTGAGGGGTGAGGGACCAGAAATCTGCATGCAAATAAGCCAGATCTGTAAAATGGAACGAACAAACTTTATTTTCAAAGGGTTGAAAATTGGGCACACAGGCCCTTCTGACATTCGGCCCTTCTAAGCACTCATTTTTCAGAGTACCAATGCCTGTTATCTAAAACGCATGCTATAGATATAGAATAAAAACATACATTATAGAATATAATACATACATCATGTGTACACAATTTTTCACACTCACACACACACACACACACACACACATGTATATATATGCTCTCACATTCTCATACATGCACACTCATATACAGACATACCTAACACATACATACATACATATATATATACACACACAGAAAAAACACACACATACATATATGGGATGTGCACCCAGCACAGCCTTTGGATCAACAGGCACGCATCTAGCCCCTATACCACAGGCCATTGTGCTTTATTTAAAAATATGAAGCAGCATTTATTTATCTTTTTTGTTTTTTATTGTTCAGGAACTGCGGGACACAAGTCAAAGGAACAGCATAATGGGATAACAGATTCAAGAAGAATTACAGTAAATGTTTTAAATTTTTCTTTTAATGTTTAAAAATGAAGGTTGTCATTAATTAATTATTTATTTAATTGTGTCTATTACTGTGCAATTTAGTTTGGACCAGGCAGGAAGAACCTGAAGATTGTTAAGTATCCTCAACCCTATCCAGGGAAAAGAGGGTGGCAAAAGAGACTGCACCACATACAGAGGCATATCATTGCTGCACTACATACAGAGGCATATCATTGCTGCACCACATACAGAGGCATATCATTGCTGCACTACATACAGAGGCATATAATTGCTGCACCACATACAGAGGCATATCATTGTTGCACCACAAACAGAGGCATGTCATTGCTGCATCACATACAGAGGCATATCATTGCTGCATCACATACAGAGGCATGTCATTGTTGCACCACAAACAGAGGCATGTCATTGCTGCACTACATACAGAGACATATCATTGTTGCACCACAAACAGAGGCATGTCATTGCTGCACCACATACAGAGGCATGTCATTGCTGCACTACATACAGAGACATATCATTGTTGCACCACATACAGAGGCATGTCATTGCTGCACTACATACAGAGGCATATCATTGCTGCACCACATACAGAGGCATGTCATTGCTGCATCACATACAAAGGCATATCATTGCTGCACCACATACAGAGTCATATCATTGCTGCACCACATACAGAGGCATATCATTGCTGCACCACATACAGAGGCATATCATTGTTGCACCACAAACAGAGGCATGTCATTGCTGCACTACATACAGAGACATATCATTGTTGCACCACAAACAGAGGCATGTCATTGCTGCACCACATACAGAGGCATGTCATTGCTGCACTACATACAGAGACATATCATTGTTGCACCACATACAGAGGCATATCATTGCTGCATCACATACAGAGGCATGTCATTGCTGCACCACATACAGAGACATATCATTGCTGCATCACAAACAGAGGCATGTCATTGCTGCACCACATACAGAGACATATCATTGCTGCATCACAAACAGAGGCATGTCATTGCTGCACCACATACAGAGACATATTGCTGCATCACAAACAGAGGCATGTCATTGCTGCACCACATACAGAGACATATCATTGCTGCATCACAAACAGAGGCATGTCATTGCTGCACCACATACAGAGGCATGTCATTACTGCACCACATACAGAGGCATGTCATTGCTGCACTACATACAGAGACATATCATTGTTGCACCACATACAGAGGCATGTCATTACTGCACTACATACAGAGGCATATCATTGCTGCACCACATACAGAGGCATATCATTGTTGCACCACAAACAGAGGCATGTCATTGCTGCATCACATACAGAGGCATGTCATTGCTGCACCACATACAGAGGCATATCATTGCTGCATCACATACAGAGACAAATCATTGCTGCATCACATACAGAGACATATCCTTGTTGCACCACAAACAGAGGCATGTCATTGCTGCATCACATACAGAGACAAATCATTGCTGCACCACATACAGAGGCATGTCATTGCTGCATCACATACAGAGGCATGTCATTGCTGCACCACAAACAGAGGCATGTCATTGCTGCACCACATACAGAGGTATGTCATTGCTGCACCACACTGGGAAGACTTTTTTATAAAATTGTTGAAAAAAGACCACCCATTTATTGAACTACAGCTCAGTGAATACCGCACACAGTGTTTAACAAAGTCACCTTCATTTTTGTCCCAGAGTATGCTGGTGTGAAAGGCAATGAGAGAGCAGACGCTGTTGCTGGCAGTGCGACCATCGAAAATGGGCCATCTGTGGACAGGAGAGACATCAGTAGTACCATACGAGAGACTAAACGCTGTGAAGCTTCCAGTTTCTTGGAAAGTCTCACTGAATATACTGCATGCCCTGGGTATACCAGTTGGAGCGGCGAGACAGGAAAGCCATGCAGGAGCCACCCATTGTTACATCAACCAAAACAGAATAGGAGTTGTTAGCCTAAAAACACTTGGAGAAAAAATAAAAGCATATGACAAAGCATTGGGTGCGAGTCTTGGAGGCCTATGTAACCACTTAGCATCTAGTAAATGTACATAACTTAGAGAGAGTGAGAGAGAAAAGGAGAGAGAAAGAGAGAGAGGGAGAGAGAGAGAGTCACAAATGATTCTACAATCGCTAAAAAAAACTTGGGAATTTTAAAACCGAAATCTTACAGAAAATTTGTTAGAATACAGTGAAGACAAATTTCCACTATTTTTTACAGCATTGGAATGTTGAAAAAAAACTGACTCATAAACAGCATTATATCAAAATTTTGCTGACCACCTATTCATTATTTAAATAAAATTTGTAGTAGCAAAAAACATTTAAAAATAAATTATCTGTAAGACTTTACTATTTTAGGAGCTGCCATGATGAAGCAACAAGATGATTGCCTGTGGATCTGAAAGCTGTTGGTTGTGATCCAAACATAGTTGGACTTTGTAAAACAATTACCTTAGCTCCCAAGTCAACGCAACCTCAAATGGGTACCAGATAAATTCCTGGGAAGTAAAGGGGGCCAGCAGGATGAAGACCATATCACCCACCGAGTGCTAATTTGTCTATACAATTAGGGTCTAGCACTATACACCCAAAACACCCGAAGGTTTGGAAAAGGGTCCTTAACTTTAATATTTTACGTATTTATCAGCCAGCAGTTGGTGATCCCAATCACGAACAAGCGGTACACAGTAACTTACCTGTCAAAGCTAAAGCAACAGCAGAGTCATCCAGCGTGACTCCTGAAACAAGCAGCAGTGCTTCAGCAGTCAGTAGCACTGATGGCATTTATCTACCCCAGATGGTGTTTCTAGAAACGCCAACCTGTCTCTACTCACCTTACAGCTTACATGCCATCCAGATCGCTCCAGGACTCACATTTCTCTTGCTGTCACAGGTAAGTCTTTTTTTTTAAAAATAACATGAAGCAAGTTCCATTTTCAGAATAATATAATAATAAATAAAATATAACATGACCTGGTTTTGTTACACTGGTTCTTCTTCTGCATTCACTCTTAAAAGCGGGTTGACACGTTATGTTGTGGTTTACAGTTAGGCAGTGACATCTGCCCCTTTCAGCTCCAGTCCATCTGATTTCAGCAAACCCCTAGTTAGTCACATTTTATGACATGCTTGTAGTGGGGATGGGGAGGGGTGGGGGTTGGAGAGTGGGGGGGGGGGGAATTGGCGGAGTGGAGGGGGGCGAGTTGGAGAGTGGGGGGGGGGGTGAGTGGGAGGTGATGGGGGAGGAAGGGAATCTTTTTTCCTCTCCATAATGGAGCCTAGGAACCCAGACTGAAACATTACACCGATAAAACCTGGCATTGTTTTGTGCAAACAGTAAAATATGTCGTCGTTTTATAACAGTAAAATATGTCATTTTATGACAGCTATAAAGCATGTCATTATGTTCTCCCACTAATAAAACCAGTTAAGTTAGTTTTGTATCCTTTACAGGACATCGCAGAACCAACCCTAGCATTAATTGGCTGTTTTGGTTTTTCTAAGCAAATTTTACATTCAGTTGTTTGCCATAGTTTTCTGAACAGTCAGTTTCTGTACTACTGTTGAAACCAACGCAAGACGGTCTGCTGCCAGATCACCAGAGTTAGGATTAAACCCGGCACCCCACATTACAAAGTGCGTTCATTATGCCTAAGCCACAGACGCTGACAATAATAAAACCAGTACCAAGTTGTAAAAAATATATCTTTTTGTCCAATGGCAAATTATATCCTTGTTTTGTGACAGCAATAAAATATATCATTGCTTTTTAACAACAGTAAAACATAATTATTTTGTCACAGTAATAAGTATAGCATTATTTTCAATACCCATAAAATATGTCATTGTTTTGTTACATGAATAAAATACGTCATTAGTCTGTGACACTAGTAAAATATTTAAATTTTCTCACCACCGTAAAATATACAATTGCTTTCTCCAAGTAGTAAAACATAATTAATTTGTCCCAGTAGTAAAAAATATTTTTGAAACCATTTAAATATGTCAATGTGTTGTTACATGAATAAAAATGTCATTGTTTTGTGACACCAGTAAAATATATAATTTTGTCATCACAACAGTAAAATATATAATTTTGTCATCACATCAGTAAAATATATAGTTTTGTCATCACAGCAGTAAAATATATAATTTTGTCATCACAGCAGTAAAATATATAGTTTTGTCATCACAGCAGTAAAATATATAATTTTGTCTCAACAATGAAACATAATTTTTGTCAAAACAGTACAACAAGCAATTATTTTGTCACACCAGGCACCAAGATACTTATTAGCTGATTCCCTCTACCAAGTTATCCAGACCATGCAAGATGTACTTCATGGCAGACGCTCCAAACTTCCTAGAAGTCGCAGCATTTATGTGTACGAAACAATCCATACTCAGCTAGGAAAGATTTATAACGTCTTGAAAAAAGTCAAGGTAGGCTATTGGCTGGAGATATATAACGTACAAGAAACTTTGAATGAGAGCATCAAACAGTTTTTAAACTGAATAGATTTGTGCTTGTTATAATCTGTTATACTTATTTTTTTAAATCTTTAATTGTTCTTTTTAATAGTTTAACTGTAAATAAAATATTTGGCTCTATGAATAATAGTCCTTCTTCTTCTTCTGTGTTCGACATCAGTCATGCTAAACATTGAGTCCCGTCTGGGTCACAAATAGGATTGTGCGCTTTAGGTCGCCACCGGTCCCCCATAGCTTCTCTTGCAATGTGGCTCCCTTGGGCCAGATCCACAGTCTTTGCTGGGAGAGGTTGGGGCAGTGCTGCAGTATGTGCTCAGGGGTCTGTCTTTCTGCTCCACAAATCACAGGCAGCAGATTCTTTTATGCCTATCCTGTGCAGGTGTGCTCGAAGACCACAGTGTCCTGTCCGAAGTCTAAAAATTGATGTTTGTTCTTTCCTGCTGAGTTTGTTTATGCTGTCACTCTCTGGTCTGTAATCTCCGTTCTGCCTTCTCCACTCCCGCTTGAAAGACTGCTTTAGCGCTGTTTTGGTTTCCTTGTAGCTGTGTGGTGGATGAGGTTGTGGAAGATTACTCCCAGCTTTTGCCAACTCATCTGCTCTCTCATTTCCTTGAATACCACAGTGGGCTGGTATCCACTGCAAGACCAGTTCTGCTTCCTTGGAGAGTAAGCCAATGCTGGTCCTTAGATCTGCAATTAGTTTGTCTTGTTTTTTGCTTGATAGTGCTTGGAGAACAGATAATGAGTCACTAAGTATAACAATTTTGTGCCCTCTGTGTTCTTGAGTGATGAGATGTTGGACTGCAGAAAGGAGGGCAGTTGACTCAGCTCTGAAGTTAGTGCAGATGTCACCTGCTGGTAGAGAGAGAGTTTCTGCTCTACTGCTAGGGGGTTTAATGTATATTCCACAGCTCCCCTTTCTGACTGCATCTGTAGCAGAGCCGTCGGTGAAAACCTGGGTCCAAGTGGTGTTGGGATCCTTCTCATCAAGCATAGCAAGAGCCAGGGTTCTCATGGTTCTGGCCTAAGTTTTTCGCACAGTGCAACATCTCTTTCAAGCAGATCTTGGTGCTGTCTGTACAGTTCTCTAGCAAGGTGGTTGGGGCTCTGATGCTTCAGTCTGTTTTTTGTTCTCTCTTGAAATTTAAAATGCAGTGGGTGACATTGAAGTCCTTTTAATTTCTCATACTGTAAAAGAGTTTTGTATTGTCTTCTGAGTTCGAGTGGTTCAGTATCTGCTATCCTCTCTATCTCTCTGATGGGGGTGGTTTTCATGGCTCGGAGAACAATCCTTAATCCCATATTCTGCACCTTGTCCAGTTTTCCCATTGTTGTCTTGGCTGCAGCGGCCCATGCAGTGGAGGCATATTCCATGACTGGCCTGACTGCTCCAGTATATACTTGTTTCAGGATTCTGGAGTTAGCGCCCCATGTGGTACCCGCTAATTTTTTCATCACTGCAAGCTTCTTGAATGCTTTCCCCTGTACTGCTTCTACATGTGACTTCCAAGTTAGTCGCGAATCAAGTGTAACGCCAAGAAAAGTAGGAGTGTCAGTCTGTGGAATGAGCTGGTTTTTTATCCAGATTTAGATTTTTTCTTTTTAGGGGGAGAGGATGAAAAGTGATGCTGTGCTTTTTGAATTATTTAGTTTTAGACCCCACTTTTCGGTCCAGGCTTCTACATTTTCCACAGTTTTCTGTAATAGATATGAGGCTGTGGTAGTGTATTCGGAGGCTGTCCAAACTGCAAAGTCATCAGCATGTTGGGTATTAGAAACGTGCTGGTGACAGGTTCCTGTGATAAATAACAGTCCTAAATTATCAAGGCTAAGAAAATACCCTAACAGGGCCTTAGTCATATGTAAATTGCAGACTCCTTTCCGGCGAATATACTTGGGCAAAAGTAGGATTAATTTCCTGCAAAAATTTTGCAAAACACTAAAATCCTCACAGTATTATCACCATGGCTCTGACACTGGTTCCGAGGTTTAGCTTCTCCCCTGGGTCCTAGGTTTAACTTCTCCCCCGGGTCCTAGGTTTAACTTCTCCCCTGGGTCCTAGGTTTAGGATTAGGGCAACGAGTATTAAATTACGACACCGCCACAAGAACTGTCACAACAGTCCAACCGCGACACCACCGATTGAAGGTTTATGCATGCAGCTGAAACTGGCGCAATGCTACGAAGACGGAACGAGTCGCACGATTTGTTGCTCCTCATGTATGTACCAGAAAGAAATCCTAATTTTACAAACCACTGAGGTCCTGTTAGAGTATTTTCTTAGCCTCTACCGTTATTCAGAGGGGAGCCAAATATTTATAAAAACAAACCATTTATAAAGCAAAAAGCCAAGAACATTATGTTATTTGATGCTTTAATTTAGGTGGAAGTTTTTCACCAAGTTCTTGCTAGCAGTATTTGGGTTTTTCTTTTTTCCTCCTCCTTATAATCATATCTTTTTTAAATTGTGGATGTGTTGCCATATATTCGAGAAGGTCACCACCTGAAAACGGTTGTAAACCACTCGTCTAGCCACTGTGACACGACAGCTCAGAGATGTTAATTTCAGCAAGAAAAAATTAAGAGTTAAATTACAGTACATTGCTCATACAATTTCCAGAATGTGAAATATTTACAGTAAGCAGACAAGATGAGAAAAATCCATCCAGTGGTAGCAGAAATGTTTTGTGTTAGGAAAATTCAAGTAATTCCATAAATAGGTTTAAAAAGCAAAAAATCTTTTAAGAAACACACAAAAACTGCAAAATAGTTATAAACATTGACATAGACCTTCCATGTTTTTGGAGCCTATTTTGTGGGAAAATAAACTTGAAAACTGAATAACAGCTGACAGAGTTAATGTGAAAAGGGCTAGGAGAATCTTCCTGTGGGTTCTGGAGCCCTATTTAGGGGCAGGTATATATGCAGATCCCATAGTTCTAAAATGTTACTAAAATATTAACATCTAAACATTTAATGAAAATATGTTTTCAGTAAAAATGTTACATACATTGTTTTTGTTTGTTTGCAGGGGAGAGTCAAAAATCTGATCTATGATGTGCTGGTACGATGGGAGAAGGATGATCTCAAGCAGAAGATGCTTGATTTTCTGGAGAGAGATACTTCGTTTCGAATACCACCAGAGTATGTGTGTGTTTGTATCTATCCTCATTTGTCCTGCCATCTGGCCTAGAAGTTACGAGAAACAGGCATAAGTTATTACCCAACTTGGTAGGAGCAGAGCAACTATGGGTTAACCCATTTGCTAGGAAGCTGAAGTAAGTTTACCAGATTACCTTTATTTGGGCTTTTTCTTGAACTGTTTCAATACCAAGCAGCTTACCATTGTTTCTTGCTCATTCCAGTGATGTCTTCTTCTGTCTTTTATCCCCGACAGATGTTTAGATTAACAATTTATTTCTGAATTATCTATATGCTTTCCCTATTGTAGGGAAAACAAGAATAGACCCACTGCCTACCCGAAAGCATGTTGTACGAGCTGACTTATTAGGAGCTTCCTTCAAAGTCAGAGTGCATCTGCCTGAGAGGCAAGGAACCAACAGTCTGCACACAGATCTGTCATATGGGTGCACACGCAAACACTCGGGTTCTGAAACGGGACTGCAGTCCAGAAGTGAATAAACAACCAAACTTTCTGCTGGAGTTTACAGCTGGTGAACGCAAAGAAGAAGAAGTATCTGAATTACAAGTTTACCTACTGCTGTCCCATGGTGTCTCTGCTGAAGTGCTTCAGACCCAAATTTACTGCTTTTGATCACAACTCATAAGAATCATCAGTCAACAGGTCCTATACAGAATGTCGCTTTTGCACAGCACGCCTGGAAGTCTCTTTTTCTCTAACAAGTTCTCCAGCCTTATATGCTTTCATAGCAAGTTCATCTTCACTGTTTTCTATCCACCATCATTGGGGTCTGCCTCTGCCTCATTTTCTTAAAGCTGTAGCCTCCATCACCGTTCTCTTCAGGCTACCATTATATTTAACGTGGCCACACTCATTAGAAAAGACAGAGTTAAAGTAACAAGTGCTTGGAACTAAAAGAGTTAAACTAATTGTTTTTCTAAATGTTGCTTTTACAGGTTAGAATCACCACTGGTAGAGTTTTACAAGAAGCTGCGTGAATTGTTTTCTCACCTGTTTCTGTTATCTGTGCCATATTCACCCCAGCTGTTGGAGCTCTTGACTCTGATCAGGGTAAGTTTGTTGGATAATGTATTGTTTGTTTCCTGTTTATCTTGGTTATTTAAAAGCTCTGATGTCTATCAATTGCATTTTTCAGTCACAGTTTGTGTTGTGTTTATTACTCTGTTGATAAAGACTTTGGTCAAAACATTTGGTTGTGGTTGTGCACAACTTTTCGGTTGCTTCTAAGGTGTTTTGTAGTCACATTTGATGTTTTATTTAGCACTAAGCTTGTAAGGGTTGTTTAAATGTTTCTCATATTTAGTAATTACTTTTTTTTTAAAGGTCTTTTTTTTTTTAAACACCTTTAAGTGTATTGGGAAAATAGGGCTAGACATATAGTTTTATAGACCAATCGGAACTTGATGGGTGATGTGGTCAGCATAACACTCGCTGCGTTTACTTTCCAGGACTGCACCTAGTACCCACTCAAGGCTGAGTCGACCTGGGATTCGAGGTCAGTTTTAAAAAAAAAAAGTCCGGCTCCGTCAGAATGCAAACCCCCGACCTTCCGGTCCGCAGGCGGGCGTCTAGCCGCCAACACCACAGCGACTCCGTTACTTATAACTTTGCACACACAAAAACAAGATGGTTAATTTCTTGTTTGTTTGTGTCCCCTGTGTCTTTACACCCATGGCAGAGCAAAATTGCACCAGCCACTTATCATCAGGGTGTCATTTACGTCTGCTCTGAGGTACTGTGCCATTCAAAGTCTTGCAAGTCAGAATTAGATATGAATGACTTATCATCAGGGAATAGAAAATTTAGTATTGTCTGTCTAAAAGCACACTGAAGATACAAAATTTATTCTTAAATTTGAAGTAAATGAAAATAATGTCCACAGATAAAACTGGCTGTCACGAAAAAATAACAATAAATGATGAAGAAATTGAAAATGTCACAAACTTTGAATATCTAGGCTCTTTAATAAATAGTAATAGAGACTGTTTGACAGAAATTAAAGGGAGGATGGCCATAGCAATGCAAAGATTAAACAACAGCATTAAAAGTCTATGGTTAAGTACCAGCAAGGAGATCAAAATTAGAATTTTGAGAGCAGGCATCTTCCCTGTAGCAACATACGGTGCTGCTATAGTTTACACTGATGGGTCAGTAATTAGGTGCATGGGCCTTCACAGTAAGCTCAAGGGGAAAAACCATCAATGAGATGAATGGCCCCTTTGCTGTTACAACTAACTGCCTTACAATGGAAACTATGGCTGTAACAAGGGCTTTAGCATGGCTTGGTACTCAAAAGTTCACACACGTATGCTTTCTTAGTGACTCAATGAATATGCTTAAAAAAATCCGAGCTGGATTTATCAGGCAAGAATGGATTGAAACACTAAGCACTTCACGAATATCTGCCGTAACCTTAATCTTTGTGCCATGTCATGCGGGTGTTCAAGGGAACGATCGTGCAGACTATCCTGCTGACACTGTAGTTGCTATGGCTGGTCCAGTACTGGACAGAATGCTATGCGCTGCACTTACCGTACTGAGGAGCGCACCAAAGGACAAGACTCGGTATCCCTGTCTAGACTGATGGACACGGGGGTGCAGCCTGGAGCTGAAAGAAATGAACGTTTCACTAAGAGGACAAGACGTTTTATTAACCAACACAGAACAGGCGTCATTAGTCGTTTTACACTTGTGGAGCTTTTAAGGAGGAGATCGGAGCACCTATGGATCTGTCCAGAGTGCTGTGATGATAATCCTTTGTAATCACTAATCACTAATTACTAATTATTAATCACTAATCACAGCATCCTGTCTCAGAAGCTGAAATATTTTGGTCATATCCAGCACAACTGTGGATTGGAAAAAATGATAGCAAAAGGCATGGTACCAGGAAGAAGGGGCAGGAGCCAACCAACACAAAGATGGGCACATTATATAAGTGACTCCTTGAGTATGAAAGTACATGTGGTGGGAGAGCTGGCGAGAGACTGAGTTTCTTTGTTGTTGTTGTTGTTATCGATCCAGCAGCGCATGAGCTTTCGCCCTTTGGCCCAATGCCATGTAGTGGAATTTGCATGTTTTCACAAGCTGTTCTTTTCCTCCGTACAAGGTGTTCCACTTGTCTGGTCTCGGAGGGAGTAGCGTTCTTCTTGTCTCACTGAGTTTTGGGCACTCAAAGAGATGGTGTTCAACAGTTTCGTAGGGGTAATTACATAGCTGGCACTCTGGGGAGTGTTGTGGCTGTATTCTGTTTAGGTGTCCATTGAGTGGAGTATGTTGCGTTCTAAGTCTGAAGATGGTGGCCTGGTCCCTTCTTGTAAGATGGTTAATGCTGTCATTAGGATCAGGGCCAGACATATGTCTATACACCTCTCTTCCAGTGTCTCCCATGGCCCATCTGTTCAACCAAGTCTCTTTGTTTATAGCTCTTATCAGTGTTTTTGCTGTCTGGAGGGTTGTCGCTGTAGGTGGTTGTTCTTGTGTTGCTGCTTTCTTTGCCAATCTGTCAGCTCTGTCATTACCTGGTGTGCCGGAGTGACCTGGAATCCACTGCATCACTATTCTGATGTTGTATGAGGTAATAAGCTGATCAGCATCCAGGATTATCTTGGCTATGTCAGTTCTGCAGCGTTCACTGCCCTCCAGAGCTTGAAGGGCAGACATTGAATCTGTGAAGATGACAATATTTTGGACCTTTGAAGGGTAAACATCCATTACAGTCTTTAGGTGGTATACTGCTGTTTCCAGTGCAATTATTTCAGCTTCATAGTTTGAACAGAATTCCCCGCATGCATCACAAATCTCTTCAACAGATCCATCGGGATAACCTATGTAGATTCCGTAACCTGCTTTAATGGTAGCTTTAAATGCAGATCCATCAGTATAGACATGTATCCATTCTTGGGGGTAAGAATCAACCGAGTTTCTTTCAGGCAGACCGTGATGAGAGCGACGTTCTGCAAAGGACCTGCTACATGATGATGACTTATCATCAGGTGTCATTTTGGTCTGCTCTGAGGTACTGTGCTATTCAAAGTTTGGCAAGTCAGAATTAAGATATGAAGACTTGAGAATTGACATTCCTCCACTCAGGACATACGTGCTCCGTTTTCTTCCTCCGTAGCCAACGAAGAGTCAGTTTGCTAATAGTACCAATTGCAACCTGATTAAATATTCGCCTATCATTTTCCCAGGAAAGTCGCCGTGGTGTAGCAGCTAGACGCTCAGGTGCGGATCGAAAGGTCATGGGTTCGCTCTCTGGCAGGGCCAGAGTTTTAAAAAAAATGACCTTTACTCTGAGGTCCAGTCCTGGGAAGTAAAGGTGGCCGGTGTGATGCTGACCACATCACCCATCTTGTGCCACTTGGTCTATAAAAATATAAGTCTAGCCCTGTATGCCCTATATGCCTAAAGGCGGGGAAAAGGGACCTTTACTTACTTTACTTTGTTTTTCCCTCAGTGTTGAATATCTTCCAGACCCTGTGCTCAGCCACTGCTGAATTTGACAATTTAATTAAACTTGGTCCGTTATGTTGCACTGTCCACTTGATCCTAGAGAGCCTTCACCATGTACGCTTTATCATAAGGTAGCTCACCACTCCAGGAGCAGCAGCAGCCAATCTATCAGCCGGCTCATTGCCCCACACACCTGAATATCCTGGACAGAAAATCCATTATAGGCTCCTGATCTGAGTCTTATTAAGTGATGCAAGCCAGTCGACACCTAGGACACCAGTTTTTAATTTATACCTATGGTACTATGGGTTAGACTCATATTATTGTAGACCAACTGGCACTCGGTGGTCAGCATCATTCTGGCCACGTTTACTTCCCACAGCTTTACCTGAAACAAATTTTAAACTGTGTCAGCCTGGGAGAGTTAACATAATTTTTTGGGGGGCAAAATCTCCACTCGTTGTAGATGCATTCAGACATAGTTATCTTTTATTCTACACTCAACGGTTGACAAGACAGAACACACACGCACGCTTGCTCGCTCACTCACTCACTCACTCACTTACACGCACACACACACACAAACTCACACACACACTCACACACACACAGACACACACACACACAACAGAAAGAAAAAAAGCATGCAGATGAAAAAAATATACAAAGGAGAAAAAAAGAAAACCTTTTAGGAATAGGATTGAAAAAAACTATTGCAACCAAAAAAAAAAGCTAGTCATGTACCTATTGTTTTTTTGTTTTTTTTTCAGGATCGCTTGAGGTCTGAACTGCTGGACTATCGAGAATATTTGAATGTTAAAGCGCAGCGAAACATAACTATGACATCATACATTGATGAGTTTCCTGGACTTATTCACTTTGTGTTTATTGACCGACATTTCCATCAGATGACTGCGCCGTCCATGAACATTTCTCTGAGAGAAGGGGAACACATGGATGCTACAAGTTACTTGAAAGAGAAGGTGTGTTACCTTTCACAAAACAATAGGGGAACACATGGATGCTACAAGTTACTTGAAAGAGAAGGTGTGTTACCTTTCACAAAACAATAGGGGAACACATGGATGCTACAAGTTACTTGAAAGAGAAGGTGTGTTACCTTTCACAAAACAATAGGGGAACACATGGATGCTACAAGTTACTTAAAAGAGAAGGTGTGTTACCTTTCACAAAACAATAGGGGAACACATGGATGCTACAAGTTACTTAAAAGAGAAGGCGTGTTACCTTTCACAAAACAATAGGGGAACACAGGGATGCTACAAGTTACTTAAAAGAGAAGGTGTGTTACCTTTCACAAAACAATAGGGGAACACATGGATGCTACAAGTTACTTAAAAGAGAAGGTGTGTTACCTTTCACAAAACAATAAAGTAACAACTGATAAACAATTTCCAAAATTATACTATAAAAAACACAAAAAAATTTGGGTTTTACATTTGTTGCATGAATGTGTTTCCATTCTCTCTCTATCTCTGTCTCTCTCTCACATACATACACACCCAATATATATGCGCACATCCCCCCCCCCCCCCACATACACACACACACTCTTAACATACCTATTTCCAACTCCACTTGATTAACAAAAATTCCAAACTTGATCCTTTTTCAGCCGCCTGAAGGCCTGCTATGTGAAGGAAGGTTCCTTGGCTATCTTCTTTAGTGCCCTTTTCTTTGTGGCATGAAGTCACACCTGATATTCCTGTTCTTTGTCTTCCTGAGTCCGGTGTGGTGCTTAGGGTTCTGTGTCCTAGTCTGGTCCCGCTCTCTCAACTCCTATCTCTGTGGGTTTTTGCTGACTGTTGCTGGTGCTTGGTTTAACATGTGCTGATCCAGCTCTCTCAACTCCTATCTCTGTGGGTTTTTGCTGACTGTTGCTGGTGCTTGGTTTACCATGTGCTGGTCGCTGCGCTGGTTCCCTATTGCCAGCTGGGCTACCGCAGGATGATTCTCATTGCTTGGTTCTGGATCCGGTCTAAAGAAACTTTGTGGGTATCAGAAGCAGCATCATATACGATACATCCGTATTCTGTCTTGCTTCGGACAAATGCCTTGTAAAAGTTCAGTAGAGTTCGGGTGTGCGCACCCCAGCTGGATCCTTTGATGACTCTTAAGAAAGTTGTTATTAGCTTGAGCATCTTGCAATAGTTTGCTTGATATGTCGACTTCCAGCTCATTTGTTAATCGAGCAACATTCCTAGAAATTTCGTTTGGGTCTTTCTCTGAATCCTTTGGCTGTTTATCTCAATGTGGGTATCAAAGTCTTCATATGCCCATGCCCTCTTCCAGTTGTAAATCATCTGGGTGGATTTAGTCAGATTGATCACAAAACCCCACTTCTCCATCCATCTTGCTACGTTGTCTGTCGCCACCTGGAGCTGGTTTCGGGCTATTAACACATGCACACATATATATACAATTTTTAAAGCAGAAAAAGTCTTTTTACAAGAGAATACCAGTCTTTTAAGGAAATAATTGTTTATTAAATCTGTTGGGACCCTTATTATATCAGAAACATCTCAGTCACTGTGTTTATTTCAGAATATATAGAATAATATTTCAGAAGTGGAGCTCAGCTCTGGAACCAACAATGGGTCTCATCTATCTCATATTCATCGTCTCATTTAAATATAAATTTTGTATGTCTTCTCAAGAATATATTTATTGTAGTTAATGGTTGGTTTTTTAGTGATAAATATCTGAAAACTTGAAAACTTGTATAGCTGAATCTGAATGATTGCTGTTGCTTGTGGGCAGGCCATTTTTTCCCCCTGGCAGCAGGCAGTAGTACGTAGTACCTGTTTCTGTTTTATTTAGACATAATTTTTTTTAGCACTTCTGTAGTGGACACTTTATGTTGAATCCCAGCATGCTGTGGGTTGCAACCCTTTTGTGGGTCGAACTACCCTTTCACAGGGTTCGCCAAAGACCATCAGAAAACACATATTCACTTATGAAGTTAGGAAGGAACAACAAAAATAATTGCATGGTTGGGGGTCGTCACAACATGAGGAATTTTATTAAAGGGTCGCAGCAAACGGAAGGTTGAGAGCCACTGTTCTAGAGAAAAGCCCTGCATTTGAGAATATATATGAAAACAATGATTGTTCAAATTTGTTTGTAGATCTGGACGATGTACCAGCTGATGATGAGTAAGTTAACCGAGGGATACACAACCGTCATGATGAGAGATGGGGATTTCTACTTCTCATATTTTTTGTGGTTTGAAGATCAGACTGTAAGTACATTTTTGTTATCTTGTTTTATTTAAAGAGTTAATCAGTTTGATGGTAACTTTATAATGTGCATGTACAGTGTGTGGATGCTTCTTCTTCTTTGTCTTCTTTGTGTTTACCAGCTGTAAACTCTGGCGGAAAGTTCTGATCGTTTGTCCACTTCTGGACTGCAGTCCTGTTCCAGAACCTGAGTGTTGTGTGTACATCCGTTTGACAGGCTGACTAATTTGTATGCAGAGTGTTGCATGCGCATCTGTTTTACAGGTCTGAGTTATTCATATGCAGACTGTTGGTTCCTTGCCTCTCAGGCATATGCACTCCGACTTCGAAGGAAGCTCCCAATTAGTCGACTCTTAAAACATGCTTTGTGGGTCTATTCTTGTTTTCCCCATAATAGGGCACCGAATCCCACACGGGGAGTATGTGGATGCAAAACAGCATTCACCAGCTGTAAACTCTGGCAAAAAGTTCTGGTTGTTCGTCCACTTTTGGACTTTGGTCTTGATCCAGAACTTGAGGTTGCATGCATGTTTATTTTACAGATCTGGCACATGTATATTCATTTCACAGATCTGGCTTATTTGTGTGCAGACTGTTGGCTCATTACCTTTCAGACATATACACTCTGACTTTAAAGGAAATACCATATTTCAAGTATGTAGGTACTTTGATAATAGCAGACGGAGGAGGCATTTAAAAAGCTGAATTTAGAATAGCAGCATTTTGCAGAATTCATAATATTCTGTGCAATCTTTATTTGTGAAACTACATGACAAAGAGAGTTCTTAAGAGCTATAGAGAGCCAATCCGGATGTGTGGAAATTATTATGGATAGTCGATCGCTTAGTTAAAAGTTAATGGGAAGCTGCGGAGATGTGGGTTTTAGACAAATGATGAGAACACCATGGGCAGATTTACAAAAAAAAGTAATGAAGATTTCTTAAAAGAAATTAACTCATGAAAAGAGCTGATCACCCACATCAAAAGGGGACCATCTATAATCTGTAGTCCCATAGTAAAAAGGGGAAAACTAGAGTATGTCAGGTCTATCGAAAAGTTGGAAGGAAAGAGAGACAGTGGAAGACCATGAGAGAAGATGAAGGTATTTTTGGAATCATGTCATAGCATGGAAGAATATCAGTGTAAGAAGTTATTGAAAGTATATGAGACGGATAGTACAGACAGACATGACTTCCAACACCACATGGCATGGACTATAAAATAGAAGTATGCATTTATGGAATAAATATGTCCTTATACAGCTCACAAGATTTTTTTTTTTTTTTTTTTTTTGTCTGATACTGTAAAATAAATCATTTAAAAAAAAAATCATTTTCTCATCTGCCTTCATTTCACAGGGCAACCCACTTCCTGTGCAAGAAAGTTACAAGCCTTCACGGAAACAGCCATATCCTGGAATTCTTTGTGGATCATTTTACAAGTTTGTTTATTTTGTTTGTATCTCATCTGTGTTCAACTACATTCAAAATGTTTTCAGTTGTTTAAAACACCACAGTTAAAAAAAAAATTAATAATTAATTTACAGCTCTATGCTGAAATCATCCATTTTGGACTGGTATGCAGGCAGTTCATAAGCATGATAGTGGTATAAGAGCCTGTTTCAGTGACCCTCAAGAGCTATGCTGACACCCCAGAACTGCTGGATGTACTAAACATATTGAAGGCTGAAGTAGAGAAGGCTGTTTAAAAAAAAAGATGAAAATTGGGAGAGCTGCAGGTCCTGACATAACATCATAAGAGATTTTTTTTAAATCGCTCAAAAAAAAAATTTCTTATAAAATTACATAATGCTGACACAAATGATACATTGCACAATTTATTGCCTAGCATATGTCACTGGCTTGATAGAGAGATAGAAGCCAGAGTTCTTAAGACAAATGCTGTCACCTACCAGCTTGTGCCACTGCTTAGACACCCAAATGTCTCCCTTCCAGAAAAACAGAAAATTATTAATAGCATCCCTACTTTTTGCTGTCAGTGCCAAACATGGACTGTGAGTAGGGCAGTAGAACAGAAAATAACTACGCTGTCTCTGTAAGGTCACTAACAGTACAAGAAGGAATATGGTTAAGAATACCAGCATTAGAGACACAGTTTTAACAAGACCGTGTGTAAATTATATTGACAGATGAAGAATGAAATGGTTCGAAAATCTAGTGAAAATGCAGCCAGACCAAACTGCATATGGGGTTTTTACAGCAGAAAGTACAAGAAGAAAGTGAGGGGAAAGACTAAGAAAGAATGGATACATGGTGTAGCTGAAACCTGCAGAAAGATGAACAGATCCATCTCCTAAGCCACACAGAAACAGAAAACAAATAATAAAAAAAAAAAAAACCACGACACTGGGCTTCAAACTAGTAACTAAAAGTAAAAAAGTAAAGGACCCTTTTCCACACCTTTAGGCATATAGGGCTAGACCTACATTTTTAACGGTCAATCGGCACAAGATGGATGATGTGGTCAGCATCACGTTGGCTGCCTTTACTTCCTGGGACTGCAACCGGTACCCACTCAAAGCTGGGTTGACCTGGGAGCCAAGGTCATTTTTTTAAAAAGTCCGGCTCCGCCAGGGAGCGACCCCACGACCTTCCGATCTGCTGCGAGCATCTAGCCGCTCCCCCACAAACTAGTTTCAGTGCCAAAAGAAAAAAAAAGAAGATATATCTCTGTGTCTCATCAGGTGCATTACTGAAGAAAAAAGTTAGATGCTGATGAAGGGCAGTGTATGCAGTCCTGTTACAGAAAAAGTTGAGGGGTAGCTAGTCTACTCATCTGCTGCCCAGCTGGGCACAGCAAACACCTCTAGACAGGAATCTGCCGGTTAAGAAAAGAATGCAGAGGTCCGTCTAAGAGCAAATGAAGACTACGTGCATGGACACACACACTACACACATACACTCACATATTTGCCAGCACATCCACTTGCAGGCCCACACTCACATGTTCTCTGTCTCCATTCCACCAGGGCCATGTTAACAGCATTATGGGCCCCATGGGCAACCAGTGGGCTGGGGCCCCTATGACAGCCATTATGGCAAGTCACTTGACAAACACAGATTAATAGGGGACCCCTATGTTCATCCAGCTCATGTGTTAAGACAACAGTGCATCTCACCTCTCTCTACCTCCCTCCCTCTCTCTCTCTCTCTCTCTCCCTCTTTATCTCTCTTTTCCCCCCCTCCCCCTCTCTCTCTCCCTCTCCCTCTCTCTCTTTTTCTCTCTTTCTCAGAGGATGATGCTGACCACATCACCCATCTTGTGCTGATTGGTCTATAAAAATATAGGTCTAGCCTTATATGCCCTATACGCCTAAAAGCGTGGAAAGGGTCCGTTACTTTTTTTTAACTTTCTCTTTCACTCTCTCTCTCTCCCCTCTCTCTCACTCTCTCTCTCTCACTCTCTCTCTCTCCCCCCTCTCTCTCTTGCTCTCTCTCCACTCTCTCTCTCTAGCTCTCGCTCTCTCCCCTCTCTCTCCCCCTCTCTCTCCCCTCTTTCTCCCCTCTCTTTCTCCCCCCTCACACTCTCTCTCCCCCTCTCCCCCTCTCTCTCCCTCCCTCTCTCTCCCCCCTCTCTCTCTTGCTCTCTCTCCTCTCTTGCTCTCTCTCTACCCCCTCTCTCTATCTACCCCCTCCCTCTCTCTCCCCTCTTTCTGTCTCCCCCTCTCTCTCTCTTGCTCTCTCTCCCCCCTCTCTCTCCCCCGCCTCTTTTTCTCCCCTCTCTTACTCCCCTCTCTCTCCCCTCTCTCTCTCTCACTCTCTTTCCCCTCTCTCTGCCCTCTCTCTCTTGCTCTCTCTCTCCCCTCTCTCTTGCTCTCTCCACCCCTCTCTCTCCCCTCTCTATCTCGCTCTCTCTCACCCCTTTCTCTCTCGCTCTCTCTCTCCCCTCTTGCTCTCTCTCTCCCCTCTCTCTCCCCCTCTCTTTCTCTCTCACCTCTATCTCTCCTCTCTCTCTCTTCCCCCTCTCTCTCTCCTCCCCTCTCTCTCTCCCCCTCTCTCTTGCTCTCTCTCTGCCCTCTGTCTCTCCCTCTCTCTCTCTCTCTCTCCTCCTCTCTCCCCTCTTTCTCTCTCGCTCTCTCTCTCCCCTCTTGCTCTCTCTCTCCTCTCTCTCTCGCCTCTCTCTCCCCCTCTCTCCTCTCTCTCTCTCCTCTCTCTCTCTTCCCCCATCTCTCTCTCTCCCCCTCTCTCCCCCTCTCTCTCTCCCCCCTCTTTCTTGCTCTCTCTCTCTGCCCTCTCTCTCCCCCCTCTCTCTCTCTCTCCTCTCTCTCTCTCTCCCCTCTCTTCCCTTTCTCTCTCTCCCCTCTCTCTCTCCCCTCTCTCTGCTCTCTCTCTCCCTCTCTCTCCACCCTCTCTCTATCTCCCATCTCTTGCTCTCTCTCCCCTCTCTCTCTCGCTCTCTCTCACCTCTCTTTCTTCCCCCTCTCTCTCTGCCCTCTCTCTCTGCCCTCTCTCTCTCCCCCTCTCTCTCTCTTCTCTCTCTCCTCTCTCTCTCTCTCCCCCTCTCTCTCTCTCTCCCATCTCTCTCTCTCTCGTGCTCTCTCTCCCCTCTTTCTCTCTCACTCTCTCTCTCCCCTCTTGCTCTCTCTCTCCTCTCTCTCTCTCCCCTCTCCCCCCTCTCTCTCCTCTCTCTCTTCCCCATCTCTCTCTCCCTCTCTCTTTCCCCCTCTCTCTTGCTCTCTCTCTCTGCCCTTTCTCTCTCCCCCTCTCTCTCCCTCCTCTCTCTCTTGCTCTCTCTCCCCTCTCTCTTCCCTTTCTCTCTCTCCTCTCTCTCTCCCCCTCTCTTGCTCTCTCTCCCTCTCTCTCCACCCTCTCTCTCTCTTCCATCTCTTGCCCTCTCTCTCCCCTCTCTCTCTCTCTCCCCTCTCTCTCTCTCTCTCCTTTCTCTCTCTCCCCCTTTCTCTCTCCCTTCTCTCTCTCCCCCCTCTCTCTCCCCCTCTCTCTTGCTCTCTCTCTCTCTGCCCTCTCTTCCCCCCCCCCCTTTCTGTGTCTCTCTGAGAATAAGATAAATATTTTCAATGTTACTCCATTTGTGTCCCTGTTTCAGAGACCTGATTCACAGTTGTTTCCCCCATGCCATCCAGGGCAGCATTCGCTGCATGGAGATGTTTCTGATGCACCTGGGAACAGTGCACCCCATGTACATTGCTGCCCACAGCAAAAAACTGGCATACAGGATGTGGGATATATCGGGAGACCTTGATAACTCATCTAACCTGTTGTGACATCGCACTTGAATTTAATGTCCCGGCAGTACAACAAATCAACATGTGTTTGTCAGAATTGACCTTCAATCCTAGGTCAACCGGCTGGCAATGGGTACTGGGTAATGTAATAGGAAGTAGAGGCAGTCGGCATGGTCATTACAGAATCCCCCACCGCCTGCTGATTGGTCTACAAAATATAAGTCTATCATATAGGCCTACTGACATGAATAGAGTCCTTTTTATTTTTTTGGGTTATTTTTTTGTTTTGTCATTTTGTGTGTGTGAACAATTCAAAATTTCAAAAGCACAAGATGGAGTCATTAGCAAGAAAGATTAGAACACAGACTACAACTAGGGGTCTCAACATAAAGAAAGGAAAAGCCAAGCACACACTCAACCAAACATTTGAATGAAAGTTTTTGTCAGTGATTATTTAGTTGGTTTGTTGACAGATTATCCTTATTGGGCATCGAATCATTCAGTCCATAAGTGCTCGTAACCCCTCTTCAGTAAATCCTGTAGTGTGTAGTGGCTGAAGACACCAGTTCTCTGTTGGTTTTATTCTTCTTCGGCTTCCTGCATAAGGCTCTCATCTGACCACACCCCTTTTAACTTGCTATTCTTGCAGTCTAGTCATTGTTGCAGATTTACAGTCAGCTGATTCTCACAAGTTTTACTTCTAGTAGAGCATTCAGTGTATCAGTCTGGTCTATGGCTGTTTTGCCCTTTGCAGTAACTTTATTTGCAAGCCTATCAGCTTCCTCATTTCCGTGCACACCTGCATGCTCTGGCACGAAAATGAAATATCAGCCAATAAAGCCACAGGAATCATAAACCATAAATCTTTGTCTTCTTCTATATTCCCCTTAAAAGTGCAGTTGGTATGTTGTATTGTGGTTTACAGCAAGGCTGTGATATCTGCACTTTTCAGCTCAACACATCCAGCTTTAGCAAACCTATAATTAAGTGTGTTTCACAACATGCTTTTTTAGAGGGAGAGTCAGTCTATTCTGTTTTCCCCACCAAATGTTGGCCCCAGAACCCATATGGGGGAATAAAGCATACATGACCAACAAGGCTAGCTGGAGAATGGAGGATGATAGAGTGCCTAAGGAGATTCTATATGGTGAATTACAGATTGTTAGAAGATGTTGAGATTGGCCTCTACAGTGATATAAAGTTGTGTGCAATCAGGACATGAATGATACTGGTATTGA